CCCCCCCCCCCCTCAACTAGGGCTTTGAAGGTAGGTATCGTGATATGAATAACTGGGGAGCTTTTATTAGGGAAACGATTAATTAAATTAACATGTTTAGAAAACGTTAAACAATATACAATCCTTTAATTTTACAGTTTTTGCATTCTCAAATAATTTCTTTATATATATAATATACACACATCATAACAATAAGGAATATTTAAAGGGTCAACTAGGGCTATTTTATGAACGGACTTTTATTCTTTTTTTTTTTTTTGGGTCAACTAGGGTTTTAAATGTAGTTATCGTGATATGAATAACTGAGGAACTTTTATCAGGGAGATGATTATATAAACATGTTTAGACAACGTTTAACAATATTCAGTCCTTTAATTTTATATTTTTTGCATGCTCAAATAATTTCTATATATATACACGTCCTGAAGATTGATTATGAAAATTAACAGACCTATTGATTGTCTCAATATATATATATATATATATATATCGCGATTTCTATACATATTTCACAGATACCACAGTGCTTTCGTAGTTTATATTTTCACGGAATGGCAAATTAATTACTGCTTATTAGAAAGTGACCCATGTCGTTTGTCTTATATGCAAAATGCGGACCTGGAAGAGTTCACATGGATTATTAATTGGATTGTACTGTTTAAGGATCATAAAGTGTTTAGTTACTACAACTATCCACGCATCAGTACAAAATTAAAGTTAATTAAACATTAAAAATTTCTTAATCACGTTTTATATCCGTACGTAACTCAAGCCACTAAACCCTAAACCCTCAAACCCTATAAATACCCCCTCACCACCCTTCATTTCTCCTCACCCATCTCTAAAGTTAATACACTCACAAATCACTAATCCACAAAACACAAGAGAGAGATGGCCTCAAAGACATCGACCGCTCTTGCCCTCTTCCTCGCCATCAACCTTATCATATTCAACATGAGCGCGGCCACGACCTACCCGACATGCTCGAAGGACAGCCTCCAAATATCGGCATGCGCCAACGTGCTTAACCTCGTGAGCTTGACCATTGGAAGCTCATCATATCAGCAGTGTTGCTCTCTCATCAATGGCCTCGCCGACCTCGAGGCGGCCGTCTGCCTTTGCTCCTCCCTCAAGCTTAGCGTTCTCGGCATCACCGTTGATACTAATGCCCAAATCAGTCTGATCCTCAACGCCTGCCGTGGAAGTTCCCTTCCAAGCGGCTTCCAGTGCCCTGCCTAATGCGTGCGTCTAGCCCATGAATGCATACATATACGATATCATATTCGTTGTTAAGTCTATGTATGTTTCCCCTATCAAGCTTTCTCGTCCGCTTTTACGTTTTGAATAAATAAAATGCCATGCGGTCAAGTACGCATCCGTGTGCTACTCGCTGGCCCATGTTGTTGTTTCCCTCTCTTTGTGATGTGACGAAGATATGAGAATAATGCTTCTTCTTCTTCTTCTTTTCTAAACCTTCGTGGCCATCTTCTTCATTTAGTTAAAAACGAAATGAATTTGAAAAAAAAATTATTGGTCTCAGAAATTTACCGTTACTAGAAAAACGTAAAGCCAATATATATATATTTATACATTTTTGTTTTGCGGCGAGTCCATTTCATTTTAACAAACTTTTAAACGTTGTTGCACATTTAGAATATAGTAGGGGGTTATTCGTTTTCTTGAAGGCCTAAGTTGACCGGTTTTGAGCACAGAGCGAACGTGGCACAAACATATATTATTTTAACTTTAAGGTCCGGACTATACGGGTTATATATATTCAATTCCCGATATATCCTATGCACTATTATAAACATCTGTTCTAGGTATACTCATATACATATATATATATATATCAAATTAAGACTCGTGGATTAGTAAAAAAAAATTACATTTTAAAAACTGTTTTTAACACCGGCCAACTCGGATTGATAGAAACTAGATGAGTGAATAGCAATAATTAAAGAAAATAAACTAAAAGAATTGTTTATCTACGCATTCTTCATTATTTATCATCAATTCTTATTTTACAAAAAAAAAAAGGCTTGTTCCTACAAAATGCATACCTCAGATCTCAGATTGATTACGCGAATGATGAATTCTGTATGCTCCGATCAGATGTGAGATTTCGTGGATTTTGACTCTGCGTTTCTCCGATTAGGTTGCGAACCACTACGACAGAGTAATCGCGACGGATGTGAGCAAGTCGATGCTGAAGCTGGCGACGCCGGATCCGAAGGTAACCTACCACCACACGCCGCTTTCGATGAGCGATGAGGAGATCATCGGTCTCTTCGGAGGAGTGGACCCCGTCGATCTGATAACGGCGGCCACCGCCGTGCACTGGTTCGACCTCGAGAGGTTCTACGCGCTCTCCACGCGTCTCCTCCAAAAGCCCGGCGGGATCATCGCCGTGTGGAGCTACGGCACGGAGATGGCGGTGAGTCCCGAGTTCGACGCGGTGCTGACTCAGTTCCAGACAAAACGCTGCCGTTTTGCAAGTTCCCAGAGGCACAATACTTCATAGACGGGTACAAAACGCTGCCGTTTCCGTTCGAGAGCGTGGGGCTTGGAAGAGAAGGCGAGCCACTGGAGCTCGAGATGAAGAAAACGGTGTCGTTCGAAGGGCTGATAAGGATGCTCCGGTCGTGGTCGTCGGTCGACACGGCAAGGCAAAACGGCGTGGATTTGTTGCCGGAAAATGTGGTGAAGGAGCTCGAGGCTGCTTGGGGAGGAGCCAAGCTCGTTCGGACCGTTGTTTACAAGGCTTTCATGCTCGCCGGGAAAGTTAGAGCTTCACATTGAATCTGTTATATATATATATATATATATATATATTGTTTTCAAGATTGTGTATAAATGAATAAAAAGTGTAAATTAGAAGACTATGTTTTGGAAATAATTCTTGTCCAAATCAGACCGTATATTATTTTTTTTTCCTTTTTATGTGGAATTCTTGTGAAAAAGAAAATAATCTTATCGGAATAGAAAGATGATAAATCGATTCAAAAATTTCAACTCTTACGTGAAGGTATGGAGTTGAGGTCCATGGTGGCATGGGGAGGTCCATCATTGAAAATCTTATCCAACAATAAATCTGCCGATTTCTTTACCATTCATATGCCTTACAAAAAAATTTCGCAAATTCAGGATAATATTTAAAAAAAATAGTAATCAAATGCCAATTAACAAAACTTATCTAATCCCCATGCAAATTTTTTTAAAAAAAAACTAATATAATTCACCACGTTTCCTCCTATAAATAAACGACAAACCACACATTCACACCATCACTTGTAATTAAAATCTCAAAAAAAAAAAGATGACCTCAAAGAGGCCATCTCTTCTCCTCGCACTGATCGGCATTCTTGTCCTCACGTCATTGGAAACCGGACGTGGCCAATCCCAATGGCTGAGCGGCACGAACCCTGACTCCCCAAGTGGCACGTGCCCATCTGGCTTCCCCCTGCGGCTAGGGGCCTGCGTTGATGTCCTGTCCCTCAAGGACGTTGTAGCCGGCGACCCAAGGACTCAGCCTTGTTGCTCGCCCATGGTCGGTCTGGCTAACGTTGATGTCCTGTCCCTCAAGGACGTTGTAGCCGGCGACCCAAGGACTCAGCCTTGTTGCTCGCCCATGGTCGGTCTGGCTAACGTCCAGTTAGCCGATTGCCTCTGCCTTCTTCTCGGGAAGATTCCAGTGGCTGGCGGTGTCGATCAGGGCATCAGAACTATCCTTTTCGCTTGCAATGTGGCTTTTCCAATCGGTTTTCGCTGCCCGTAAACAGCTTTCTCTTCGATTCAAGAACATGCTTTCTGGTTTCCAGTCTATCTTTTAGGTTGAAACAATAAGGACATATATATATATATAACTGATAAAATTCGTTATTGACTAATGAAACGGTAAGTTTTCATCTAACCCAAGTGTGGGTGGTAAAATGGTAAGGTGAGAAGGGCAAAAGTGAAATTGACTTCGGATCTCAAAGAACATTCAACTGCGATCGGCCCGAGTTCCAAGAACGTTGAAGGGTAAACATGAAATTGCCTTGGATTACACGGTATATATACTCATAGTGTTCCAACCTAAAAGCCTAATCTAAATTAATCAAGTTTGGAGATGAGATTTGTTGAAATAGGAAAATAAATATGTGATTGAAGGAAATATTGATTTTAAGATATGATTAGAAATAATAATGGACATAATATTATATCAAATATTGTGTATCGATCTTATTTATTTCTATTTCCTTTTTATTTGTCTCATAGTTTTCCTATAAATATGTGAGTCATTTTCATTGTAATTCAACAAGAAGAAGAAGAGATGTAGCAATAAAGTAATTCCGTTTATTTTCGTTTGTCTTATTATGTTTCCGCATTTTATTTTTCTACATGGTATCAGAGCCTGATTCGATTTGCTCTATATCTTTTTTTTATCAATCTCTTCTTTTTTTTTTAGTTTTGGATATTCATATATCCAAATCGTTCAAAGAAGAGTAAAAACCCAAAATCAAACGAGTTGCTATGACAAAAAGAAGTCAAACATAAAAACTCTAAGATCAAGCGAGTTGCTATGACAAAAAGAGTTAAAGGTAGAACTTCAAAGTCAAGCGAAGTGATTTGAAAATGGGTAATACTCTCTAAAAGAACTAAATTTGGTGTTTATGAATTTTTCAAAAGACAATGAAAATATCTATGGGTTTTTATCGCATTATCTTTTCAAGATTGATTTTTGCATTCTTTCAAAATCAATCTTGAGGGGAATGTTGAAATAGGAAAATAAATATGTGATTGAAGGAAATATTGATTTTAAGATATGATTAGAAATAATAATGGACATAATATTATATCAAATATTGTGTATCGATCTTATTTATTTCTATTTCCTTTTTATTTGTCTCATAGTTTTCCTATAAATATGTGAGTCATTTTCATTGTAATTCAACAAGAAGAAGAAGAGATGTAACAATAAAGTAATTCCGTTTATTTTCGTTTGTCTTATTATGTTTCCGCATTTTATTTTTCTACAAGATTAATTTTTTTTGGGTAATCGGTTATTGTAAACCAAGTCATAGATTAATCCTGGGGTAAAGAGTTTGCCATATATTTTTGGATTATACATTCTCTTTCTAAACTTAAAATTCGAACGTGTGGCGATCAGATGAGATTAATTTTATTATATCTATCTATTTTATTAGACACACGTATCTCTATCATATTATATAATAATAAAGTTTCACGGGAGAGTTTCGAATTCTTTCAATAAATCTCTGCACCAATAGATATAACAACTGAAATTATTTCAACCAAATTATAATATCAATCTCTTATAATATGAAAAGATTTTTCAAAAAAATTTATGTAGAAACATTAATTTTATTTAGCCACATATCAATGAAAACAAATGATCGGATCAAAATTAACTCCCTTTGAAAGATGAGTTTTAAAAAAACAAAATAAAATCAGACCGAACAAGATATAACTTGGTGTCATTCAGACAACATTGTACAATCCGACCAATCTAAACCGAAACAAACCGGAAAAAAATTCACAAGGTAGAATCAAATCCCTGCATGAGACTAAAATCAGAAGGCCTTTTTGGCGGCACAGGAATTAGGCGAGGATTAAAGAACTAAGAGTGCCCTAATCTCCAATTAGCCACATCTAAAGAAATAGGTTTGGCACTCGAATTAAATTAAAACACATCATTATCGGTCAAGCTTATAAATACCCACAAACCTCAATCCCATTTCTCCTCATCACCCACATCTAAAAAAAAAAAATTAAAAAGAAAACAAGAATGGCATCAAAGAGCATGACCACAAAAATGGCACTTGTCCTAGCATTCAACATAATCCTCGTCTCCCACCTGACCAAACCAGCACAGGCCCAAGTCGGCATTTCCATTTGCCCGAGGAGTCTCCTGCAAATCGGAAGCTGTGCCATTGAACTCCTCAGTGTCGTGAATATCGGGTCGAGCGGCGGTGGCGTGACCGTTGACGTGGGTGCACCGACCGGCCTTCTCCCGAAGCTCACGGCCTGTTGCTCCCTCCTCAGAGGCCTCACCGACTCTCAGGCCGCGGCCTGCATCGGGGTCTCGGTCGGGACCAGTGTTCCCGGGCTCACCATCAATGATCAAGTGAATCTGACTAGCATCGTCCGCAGCCTTTGCAATCGTCTTAACCAGTGATCGATCGGCTTCAACAAAAGCATAAAACTGACGGTCAAAACCCTTCATACTATATATATATAACGAAATGAATAATGGAATAATGGTATAGTGCTTGCTTGCCTGCCTGCGTAGAATAACCATGAAGTATGGTACGTTTTATACATTTTATGTTTATTTCAGCAAAAATAAAAAATAAACATATCTTGTAAGAAAAGTAACCATGAATAAAAAAACGTACCTCTTGACGTTCTTTGTTTCGAGTAGAACTCTTCCCTGTTATCAGGACAAGCGCATGCGGCAAGTAGGATGAACATTTCGGTTTAAGAATCTTGTTCCAAACCGATCCGAATCGAATTGAACCGAACTGAAAAAAATAAGACGTTATAATTTGATACATTTTTTTTATAGAACCGAATAAACTGTCTTCGAATCTAAGAATCTAATATCGAATCGAATCCAACCGAACAAAAATCTCAATTATTTACCGATGTATATGTTGTGTATACATTTAATATTTATATAACTATATGTTCCCGTAAACTCCTTTTTTCTTTCTCCCCTACGATTTTTTAAAAAAAAACATTTTTTTATTTACTCGATTTTGGATTCATGATTTTAATGGGCCTAACATAAACATATTAGGCCCAATTACTTGAACTAACGATAGGCCCAAATAATTTGAATGAGTTACTGAATTTATTGTACGCAACGCAATTAAAACCCAATTATATTTGGGCCTTCGTGTAAACGGAAAATTGCTACGTGTCGTGAATTGAGTGGTCAAATATGTCATTGAAGTGACATTAGGTTTTAATAGACCAGTAGTCATGTAGTCTGACGCATCAATAATATTATTATAATATGATAAAACCAAGACTAGGAAAATAAACACGGTGATTAATATTTTATATGCCAATTGTATAAGCGAATGAACGTGACGCATATTACAAAATATTTGTGAAGAAATCAAACATCATAATCAGACGTATTAAATTATTCATTTTAAACCTTGCCCGTGACTGACAGAGTGGAAGTTTGGTGAAGAAGATGATCCTCACACACGGAAACGAAATATATGATTATAAAAAATTCTAAATTAATAATTATAATTGATACTTACATATTTTAAATATACTCTTAATTAAGATATATATATATATATATCATATATAATTTTGAAAAAATGTATGCGTAAAAAAAAAGAAAAGAGGTTTCACATAAGTTGTATGAATTAGCCAATAAATTTTTTTGAGTTATGATGCCTTTTCTAATGCGTTTATTTGGTTAAGGAATGTGTCTATTCTAGTTTTTGTAAGGACCGGACTTATTAAAGTTATAGTTATAAATACTAATCCATGGACTTCTTTTAGGTATTTTCCTCTATCTAATTTTTTAAATGACAAAGAGAATGTCTCGTTGCAAGCAAAACTAAAAAATAAAGAAAAAAAGTTCCCATTTGATCTATATATATATATATATATAGGAAAATCAATATTTCGCTTAGGTCCAAATTCTATTTTCGATAGTTTCGGTTCTTTGCCAATTAACAGCTAAGCAACCGGAGGGCAAACACATGGTCGGTCCATAGACTTAATATAATAAAACCCGTAGTTGTATATAAACAAATCAAATTATTTCTCTAATCAGCCCTATAAATACCCACTTCACTCTCCATTTCTCTCCACCCCACTCAAAAGGAAAACATTCGACTCCTCAACTTCAATACCTTATTTTAGGGTTTAACATATACAAAACAATGGCCTTCAAAAACTCTCTTCCCCTCTTCCTTGCCCTAAACCTCCTCTTATTCACTCTGACCGCGGCCACACGCTCGGGCTGCCCCCCGCCGCCTCACAAGCACAAGCCCGGGCCTAAGCCGGGCCCCGGCTCGGGCTCCCCAAGCCCAGGCTCGGGCTCCTCGAGCCCGGGAACGTGCCCTAGGGATTCCCTCAAGCTTGGAGTTTGCGTTAACGCTCTCAATCTTCTCAACGTGACGCTCGGTTCTCCCCCCGTGAAGCCATGTTGCAGCCTTATTCAGGGTTTGGCTGACCTTGAGGCAGCCGTCTGTCTCTGCACTGCCCTTAAAGCCAGCATTCTCGGCATCAACCTTAACGTTCCTATTAACCTCACCTTGCTCCTCAACGTCTGCAGCAGAAAGGCTCCACGCGGCTTCCAATGCCCTTGAAAAAAGATGATCTCTATAATATGAATGATTATGTTCTAATCTGTTGGTTTCAATCTATTTGTTGTTTGCTTTTGTCACGTCTTTTCTTTTGAAGTGGCCGGGTGAGGACGATGACCGTTCTTACGCAATAAGGGTGTTTGGCTTTTGCCTGTGTTTGTGGAACTTCACGCTTCAATGCCTCTGGATGTCTGTATCTGTTTATTTGATTTCATGAATAAAATATGGGTCTTATGTTTTCTTTTATACCCTATCTTATGCAAAACTAATAGGAAATCAAATGAGACATGGAAATGTGTATAAGAATCAATAACAGTCTTCCCCTTTTTTTAGCATAACGAACTAAAAATAATTCCATAGAGGAATAGACACTACAAGAACTCGATGAGGAATCCAACTTGGATAATTCAACCGGTGAAATGGGAATGCAAAATGTATTTTCTACTCAGAGTTCAAAGCCTCAAGTTAAAGAGAAAGTATATAATTCAAATCATATGGTTGGTTTCCGATCCCGAAATTAGTTTGGACTTCGACGTAAAATGTTCGGTTATAAAAAAAAAAAGAACTCGATGAGAACGAATTTTCTTTTCCATCCGGATATGGGAACGAATACTTTGTAGCCGGCGATTTAGATTAATATGGAAATAAGAAACCAATCATAAATAAACTACTTGTAAAGTTATTTTAGGACTTCAAGAATCAACCATAAATAAATCCTTTTTTTTTTTGTTAAAAAATAAAATCTTTAGTTTCTTTTGAACATACCTTGTAATTGTATGTTCAATGCAAGGGGGGCGAAAAAGGATTTTAACTATCCGAAGTTATGGGAAGATTGTCACAAATACCAACTTTGAAATATTGGAACGAACATGAATCTACTATATGCATGAGGTTGACACGAATCATTTCAAGATTTGTAAATACGTCTAGATATTAATATCGTTGAGTAAAAGTCTTATATTTATATACGATTCGCTGCCAATTTTATGTGAGCAATAGTTTTCTTCGGAAATCGCATTGTAGTATAGCTATTGTATTGTAGTGAATAATGGGTTTGGCCTGTTTAATTTAATATACACACACATACACAGATGTATATGTATATATATATATGGTATGATCCCGTGGAAGAAACAACTTGATCCAATAAGATCTCTTACTGCCCGTGAACCGTCTTTTGTCATGTTTGATCTTGTTTTATAAACCTAACATTAATCTTGTCTACGCAATGGTTTTGTTATTCTTCTATTATTATTTTTCCCTTCTCCGTGGGGTACGGACAAATTTTATAATAAAATAACATAAGTTTCTTCTTGGTAGTTTAAGAGAGGTAATGCAAGAAAATTTACCATAGTTTTTGGAGATATGTGCAAGCACGAGAAGTCAATGGATTTACGTGTTCATAACGTTATTAAATATGGTCTTAATTATTTCAATTGAATAAAAATAATATAATATTAATTTCATGTCTGTTTTATTTTTCTCATGTGAAATTGCATACGGATCTATCATTAATTGTTCACATTAATTCAGAGATAACAAATATCGCATTTTAATTCATTCTAATGCCAGTTTTTATCCTCGACCCCATTGTATATAATTATATTAATCCTAATTATATGCGGAGAGCAACGACCTAATCTTGTCTTGTAATGATATTAGAATAGTTTTCAAATAATAATTGGAGGTCGAAAGAGAGGTGTATTACTCATTGTGTTATGCCCGTGACTAGATCTGTTAGAGCACATACATGAGGACATGCCCCACGTGGGAAAACGTAAAGTTTCAAGAACAATCATTCCGATTTAATTGTGCTTTGGCTCATAACTATATAGACTAATTAATTATATATTTTTTTTTACCTAAATAATTATAAAGATTATTCCTAAAATAAACTAAATAAAAAGTTGAATGTACAACATATATAATTTAAAATATTGATGATGATACAAAAGATGATATACCGTTAGGGTTAGAAGTCAACGATGATACAAATCGGAAGAAAACCTAAATTGATATATGGAATATAAATTTTTTCCCTGTTTTTTTATTTTTATTTTATACTATTCTCTCAAAAACTTCTCGTTCAAAGTTGGGTATCATGCTACACACCTACATATAATCATTATGCTTTACAAACCTTTTGACAAACCTCCTTATTAATTTTCGTTAATTAACCAAAATCATTTCTTCATCTAAACCCTATATATAAATACCCACTACATCCTCTCAAAGCATAACATCTCTAATTCTCAACTTAAAAGATTTAGCTTATAGTGTTTTTTTTCCCCTCTAGAGACAATGCCACTCAAAAGCTATCTTGCCTTCTTCCTTGCCCTCAACTTCTTCTTCACCTTCACCGCGACTGCATGCTCCAATTGCCCTTCATCCCCTCGCGGTCCCTCCAGAAACCCTAGCCGCCCCTCCCCCGGCTCGACCCCTACAAACCCTACAAACCCTTCCACGGGCTCATGCCCTAGGGATGCCTTGAAACTCGGCATTTGCGTTGATGCCCTAAATCTGCTCAACGTGACACTTGGCTCTCCGCCGGTGCAGCCATGCTGCAGCCTCATCCAAGGTTTGGTCGATCTAGAGGCCGCTCTCTGTCTCTGCACGGTCCTCAGAGCCAGCATTCTCGGCATCAACGTTAACCTCCCCATCAACCTCAGCTTGCTTCTCAACGTTTGCAGCAGGCAGGCGCCACGTGGCTTCCAATGCCCTTGAAGCAATTGGCGACCGACGTATAATATCCATCTATTTCCATATTTGTTAAAATATATGTATGGGTGCGAAGCATATGGGCTGCAATCTCTCCAAGTTATGATGACTTTATTTCTTATACTTGGGTTTGTGTGCTGGTTCTTTGTCCGGTAATAATGTCTTCGAGTGTGTTGTGTCAGTGCATTGCATGTAATCTAATCACGTACGTGTTTTTCATGCTTCCGTGTGTGTACGTCTTTTATTATTTTTTAATTAATTAATAAAACACCAATTTACGCTATACCGTCATTCATTTTTTCCAGTATAGTACTCAAGTCGTACGATTACGGCGGGCTGATACGTACGAATCCCTAACGAATTTCACATACCGCGAGACCATTCCAACTCTTGGGATTATATATATCTATATCTAAATATATATATATATATATATGTGTGTGTTCCAAAAGATGTGCGAGTTGTCCGAGGCATGCGAGCCAAATGTTCTAAATTCTAATTGTAGAAATTTGCGGAATAATTTTTATTGATAGTCAAAATAACATATAAATAGATGAGAGTCTTACATTTAAATAAATAAAGTATACATAATAATAAATATTCCTAAATATATATTTTCCGGATTTGATAAGATCTCCATTATACGATATATCTCGTAATATTCTTCAAGATCCGGTATATCTCAACATCCCCTTCAAGTTGGAGCGTGGAAGATCATGAAACGCCCAACTTGCTGAAAAGATGATCAAACGCATGCCGCTTGAACCACATCACCTTGCAAACTTGTGTCAATCATAACTAAAAAAAAATCAAACAAACGACTGCGCTGCAACTTTGGCACCACACACAAAAGAATCGTTTGATGATAACAAAAAAAGGGACGACAATCGCGGTGCAGAAAGAAGTCTCGAGAATAACTCTGATTCATCCGAGATTGAAAGGCAACTACGCGAAAACGTTTAATGACAACAAAGTTTTTTGCAAGAATAAGTTGATTGGCGGTTAAGCGAATAATCTTTAGAGACATGGGATTACGAGAGAAAATAAAAAAAATAAAAATAAAATGACTCTCTTATTCTTAATAAAAAAAACTCGAAATGATATTACCACTAGATCAGTATATCATCATCTTCATCTTCACTCTCATTGTCGATCATCATTTTTATAAAAAGAACAACAAACTAGAAAAGAACCAGGCTCTGATACCATGTAGAAATTTGCGGAATAATTTTTATTGATAGTCAAAATAACATATAAATAGATGAGAGTCTTACATTTAAATAAATAAAGTACACATAATAATAAATATTCCTAAATATATATTTTCCGGATTTGATAAGATCTCCATTATACGATATATCTCGTAATATTCTTCAAAATCCGGTATATCTCAACACTAATCACCCGACAATTCTCACAACATATCCATGGTTCAAATCAAATGTTGTCTTCTTTTTTTTTTCTTTCCAAACAGAACAATCTGCTTTAACAATTCGTGGGTTTCTTGCGTTATAAGTTACCGGAAAGAAACAACATGCATGTCATAATTAATTCAGTGGAAGAAATAGTTGGATCCGAGGTCTGTCCTATGGTGACTGCCCGTGAACCATCCTTGCCATATTTTACAAATTCTTACTGATAAAAGGAGTATATAAAATTATTTTTAATAATGAATTGAATAACATGCACTGCGTCAGATTGAAGAATATTCCTGAACTCTTTGCTTCAGCACAAGTACTAAATTCCCATATACATATACATATACATATACATATACATATACATATACATATACATATACATATACATATACATATACATATACATACTTTCTGTTAACCTGGGCACAGGAATTAAATAACAAAAAAAAATCCGTTTAAATACTCTTTTTTATTATAAAAAAAATTATTTCAAATGTAAAAAGGAGTTTTGGTTCGGTAAAAGATATCAGGACTGTTTCGAGATTAACACTAATTAACCATGCCAAACCAATTGAACATGAAAAAAAAATGAGCTGCTGAAAATGTATTAAAATTTGGAAAATGTCTCCAAATAGATTATAATCTTTGATCATACAAAATGGAAAAAAAATAAAATAAATAGAAATCCGAGCTATCAATCCAAATCTTAAAAAATATTGTTTTTCACGTTCCAAAGAAAAAAAAATGGAAAATCCAAATTTGCAGTATGCAATTTGGGCATTTGCAGTCTCCTGGATGGGTTCCAAAGTTGGAAAATAAGAAAAAGGCTGAAATAGTCTTTTTTTCATAAGTTGGGCCTTAATGGGCCTCAAGACCCATCCATATTGGAGATGGTCCAAATATTCGATTAGGGTATGTAAAAAATTTAAATTAGAGATGAAGTTATAAAATTCAAACTTAATGAAAGGATATTACATAATTTTCAGCAATTAAAATAATCTGAAATTAAAGAAAATATTGGGTATTTGAGATTTGCGAGGAAAGTAGGAATTTAGGATGAGGTAAAACGCGCCAACCACTGGGAGGTCGAGCAGCACGCGGATCGGGGCGACACCTTTTTCCCCCAAATCTCAAAACCCTAGCTTCAATTCCATTTTCGAACTCCAGATTGGATCGTTTCAGCTTTAAAATCTTGTGAAATGGCAACAGTTCCGATGGATATCGTGAGAGATATCTTCCTCCGTCTCCCTGCGAAGACGCTTGTTCGATTCCGTGTCCTGGCGAAACCCTACTGTGCTCTTATCGACAGCCCAGATTTCATTGCCTCGCATCTCGACCGCACGCTTCGGACCAAAGACCACCTCATGATCCTCCTCAGGGGTGCGCTTCACCTCTACTCGGTGGACCTCGACTCACTCGATAACGTCACCGATGTCGAGCATCCGATGAAACCCGGCGGTCCGACCGAGGTCTTCGGATCCTGCAACGGTTTGGTGGGATTGTCGAACTCTCCAACTGATTTGGCTTTGTTCAACCCATCCACTCGGCAGATCCACAGACTACCGGCTTCTTCGGTTGATCTTCCCGAAGGTTCCGCAACTCGTGGGTATGTATTTTACGGGTTTGGCTACGATTCTGTGAACGAAGATTACAAAGTGGTGAGGATGGTGCAGTTTAAGCGAGACTCGGATGATGAGCTGGGTTGCAGTTTCCCTTACGAGGTTAAAGTTTACAGCTTGAAGAGCAATTCATGGACGAGAATCGGAACGGTTCCGGTTATAATTCAGTTCCTGTTCTACTTCTACTACCATCTTTTGTTTCGTCGTGGTTATGGTGTTCTTGCTGCTAACAATCTTCACTGGGTTTTGCCGCCGAGGCCGGGATTGGTCGTGTGTAACAGTCTTATCGTAAGGTTTGATCTTGTGTCTGAGGAGTTCGACAAAGTACCGTTGCCTCAGGACATTGGTAATTATAACAGTGATACACAGATGGATATAGGTGTGTTAAATGGTTGCCTTTGTTTGATGTGTAACCATGATCAAACTTATACTGACGTTTGGATGATGAAGGAATACGGGGCTAGAGATTCTTGGACTAAGTTGTTCACGGTTCAGAAACCGAAAAGTTTTAAATCATTTTCGTATATGAGACCTTTAGTGTATTCCAAGGACCAGAACAAGGTTTTGCTGGAAATTAACAACACAAAGCTGATGTGGTTTGATTTGATAACTAAGAAGCTGACCACCTTGAGAATCAAGGACTGCCCTAGCTCATATAGTGCGGAACTCATTGTGAGTAGCCTTGTTTTGGGATGTAAAGGCGACCCCAAGGAAGTTAAACGGAGGCAACAACAGCAGCAGCGAGACCAAGAGGATAAGAAAAGGCAGAATAAGAAGAGGTGGGTGGGTTTACTTGTTCGGCTCTCTTTAGTCTTTTCATCGCCTCTTCGATTATAAGAGAGATGTAGTAAGAAAACCCTAGTGTTGTGTATCCTTGAGGTCCTAGATACTGTTCATACTTTTGAATCACTGTTAACACGTTCGTTCTGCTAGTGATCCTCGTATTAACATTGTCAACCTTTCTTCGTTGTTCATATCAGGGATGATTTCCTGTCCAAGGGATTCAAACTTGTGTTGTGAGCATTGAGTGACGAGCGAAATCCAGACGAGAGGCAAGTGCAAGCTTTTCCATTGATGGGTTTTCTGCCCACTCTTGCGGAACAGGAATGACAAACATTTCCTCGTCCACGAGTTTTTCCTCAATATTCAAAGTGGGGTATTGCCGAGGCATTGATGGAGGTTTTGGTTGCAAAGGTAGAAGAACCATCACTGGACCATTCAACCTTTTTCTGCAAGCAGCTAGTTTTCTTGCAGTGTTGAGATCCATGGAAGGTTTTCATGCCTGCTCGCCCATTGTAGGAGATAGCTTCGACGGCCAGTGGGCCAAAAGGAGATGTATTGCCAACCCTTTAAAGTGAATGATACAACAACTGAAACAAGGAGGTTCTTGTACTAAAAAAAATAAACTCCATGTTCTTGCTTGTAAATTGAATGAATCTGATCTCCATAACTCTTGTCAAGGCACTGACTTTTTTACTCTCAAGCTTCTGTCTATAAGATTTGGTATTGGGAATGTTTGTGATACAATTATAAGAGATTTAATATAATGCCATGATTCTCTGATAGTCTGAGCTCGGTTTTGTGTGACAGTCAGTGTTGGATTTGCCCAAAGCTTTGATCTTTTGTATAAGATGTAAAAGTTGAGAAATTGACCGGTCTTGGTTTGGCTAAACCGGATGTGGTTTAATTGGCCGGTTTAGGTATGATTTTTTTATTCTTCAAGAGTTCCGTGTCATGGGTGTATATATAACTTCCTCACAAGGAAATGTATAAAACTATGTTTGTAAATCTTTAGCTTTTTTTTTTTTTGCAATGGGATAGGCTCTCGCGGAAAGGACAGCCAAATAATTTAATGTGGAATAAGTTCTAACCAGTCAACTTGGACCGACATTCAGACTAATATTATATAATATGAAAATAAAATTCAACTTTTTTGCTTTTGTTAGACCAAAAAAAAGGTCTTTGAGTGGTATGGATTTTATCATTTTCCATTTTTTTTTTCACATCAACCCCTCAAGTCTTATTTTTTTATATATTTTGATAATGTTGCTAAGATTTTATTAGATAAAGAATTATATTTTGGATTAGAGAGGGTATTTTACAAAGTACAGAAATTCAAAGGCATTATTTAATTATTAATTATATATATATATATATATATATAGATGTGTGATGGGTGCGTGTATGCGTCTGTTGGCTTAGAAATGCAGAGATGACGGCTGCGTAAAACCCAGTCGAAACCTTGATTTCCCCCCTCCCTCCTCTACATACACCGATACACACGCTTATGCTGTTCATATTCCGGCGAGTGGCGTATACATACAGTCTTCGTCTTGGTTTTTGCCGCCCATGCTTTCTCTCAGGCCCTCGATCGCATGACCTCTCCACCGACGTTGCGGGCTGCGACGGCGGGTTTTTCGGCTTCCAATGACTCTTGGCCATTCTTCCGCTGGTTCTTGTACTAAAAAAAATAAACTCCATGTTCTTGCTTGTAAATTGAATGAATCTGATCTCCATAACTCTTGTCAAGGCACTGACTTTTTTACTCTCAAGCTTCTGTCTATAAGATTTGGTATTGGGAATGTTTGTGATACAATTATAAGAGATTTAATATAATGCCATGATTCTCTGATAGTCTGAGCTCGGTTTTGTGTGACAGTCAGTGTTGGATTTGCCCAAAGCTTTGATCTTTTGTATAAGATGTAAAAGTTGAGAAATTGACCGGTCTTGGTTTGGCTAAACCGGATGTGGTTTAATTGGCCGGTTTAGGTATGATTTTTTTATTCTTCAAGAGTTCCGTGTCATGGGTGTATATATAACTTCCTCACAAGGAAATGTATAAAACTATGTTTGTAAATCTTTAGCTTTTTTTTTTTTTGCAATGGGATAGGCTCTCGCGGAAAGGACAGCCAAATAATTTAATGTGGAATAAGTTCTAACCAGTCAACTTGGACCGACATTCAGACTAATATTATATAATATGAAAATAAAATTCAACTTTTTTGCTTTTGTTAGACCAAAAAAAAGGTCTTTGAGTGGTATGGATTTTATCATTTTCCATTTTTTTTTTCACATCAACCCCTCAAGTCTTATTTTTTTATATATTTTGATAATGTTGCTAAGATTTTATTAGATAAAGAATTATATTTTGGATTAGAGAGGGTATTTTACAAAGTACAGAAATTCAAAGGCATTATTTAATTATTAATTATATATATATATATATATATATAGATGTGTGATGGGTGCGTGTATGCGTCTGTTGGCTTAGAAATGCAGAGATGACGGCTGCGTAAAACCCAGTCGAAACCTTGATTTCCCCCCTCCCTCCTCTACATACACCGATACACACGCTTATGCTGTTCATATTCCGGCGAGTGGCGTATACATACAGTCTTCGTCTTGGTTTTTGCCGCCCATGCTTTCTCTCAGGCCCTCGATCGCATGACCTCTCCACCGACGTTGCGGGCTGCGACGGCGGGTTTTTCGGCTTCCAATGACTCTTGGCCATTCTTCCGCTGCCAATTCTTCCGTCTTCCATCGATCCCTCTCCGCCGTGGTAGCCGGAGCTGATCTCCATAAGCGGAAGCTCGACGATTTCGCCTCCTCCCCTGATTACGGCGATCAATTTCAAGATAGGATGAAGAAGCACGAGATCGAGGGCGGTTTCGCGTCGACGTATGGATTTCCCCGGGCCCGGCTCCTGCCGTTGGCGGAGGCGGCGGCGGCGGCGGCGGAGTGTTCTTCTTCTTGCGAGTCGTCGACTCGGGCTGAACTAGAGACCGAGTCGACTCGGTTGCAGTTCTTTGTGAGGATGATGTCGGTTGGGAAAACGATCGTGGTGCAGGCGGACAAGAACGACACCGTCGAGCATCTCCACCGGAGGATCGAGCTCATGACGGGGATTCCGATGATCGAGCAGCGGTTGATTTACCGTGGGAAGCAGCTACGGTACGAGCTGTCGCTGGGTGATTATGACATTGAGAAGGATGCGTTGCTCAATCTGGTCGGTCGGATGCGAAGCACGGAGCATCCCTTGGCTTGGCAAGTGATCGACGATATGATATCCAACGTTTGCAGGATGTGCAGAGGTGAACCACTCATGGAGGGTACTTCGTCCATCGAGGAGAAGTTAGCGGTGTTCTTTGCGATAATGCCGAGGGACAACAGTGACACAGCTGCTGGCTATTTGCGGATCTTCTTAGCCTCCTCAGCACCGGCTGCGCTGGTAATGCTGTATGCTTCTTCTATAGAAGTTAACAGCTTGTATGCCGAAAGCTCCATTGATCGTTTCCTGACTAGTTGTAGAAGCTTGCCCAAGTCATTTTACAGTCACTGTATACCGACGGTGTTAGAGTTTTGCAAATTGCTTAGGAAAGTTGCCCCTGACCAAAAGTTGTACGTGTCTTGCCGGAAAACCTTGGGTTCAATGCTGGAGTGGATAGAGGGTTTTAGTGGATTGAAGCATAAAAATGATGGTGAAGGGATAATTTTTGTTCAGGAGATTTTTCCGTTCATCAGAGAATTGGCTGATAAAATTATGAAAGACTTGGTCTGCAGTATGGATTCAGTCGGGAAGTCGGAGACTTTGTCTGGTGATGTTCGTGATTTGTCAACCTTCTTACTTCCCTTGAGGAGGGCCATCTTTTCCAGAGCTGGCTTCCTGGCGCCTATTACTTTACCTGTGCAGAAAAGAGGAAGTGACTATTCTGTATTGGAGCAGGAGATTGGGTATCTCCATGTGATATTCAAAAACTTGTTGAATGCAATGGAGAACTGTCTGGACAAAGTAGAACAATGGCTAGGTGATAAAAGAGTTCAAGATAGTAAAACTATGTCTGCATCTTGGTCCGATTATCTTGCCGTTTTGAAGGTAATCAATTCGATAACTAAATTCTATCAAAGTGCTAAAGAACAACTTTTGGGTGTTCTAAAGTCTAGGAAGGCTTCGGTCTGTGCCCTTATTACAAGCTTTGCAAAGAAAGCTGATGATCACCAATGGATTCTTGAGTACAAGGAAGTTACCAACTTTGAAGCTAGGAGGCATTTGATAATGATGATGTTTCCTGATTTGAAAGAAGACTTTGAGGAGCTGCATGAGATGCTCATTGACCGATCCCATTTGTTGGCAGAGTCATTTGAGTACATAGGGCGAGCAGACCCTGAGTCACTCCATGGTGGCCTGTTCATGGAATTCAAGAATGAAGAAGCTACAGGTCCTGGTGTTCTGCGAGAATGGTTCTTCTTGGTATGCCAGGCCATTTTTAATCCTGCAAATGCTCTCTTTGTTCCATCTTCTGAAGATCGTAGAAGGTTCTATCCAAATCCAGGTATGCTTGCCAATGGCTATGCTTCCTTGTCGTATTTTGGTGGCAGTGAATCGAATTCTGAGCTTGCCTGCATTTCCAGTATCCCCTTGTTGTATATCTGACTGTAGAATAGTTATATAGCATAGATTCTATTGTGCCTGGTATAGTAAGGTACTTTCATTTTGTGGTTGTGCGGGGTCATGGCAGTGTTTTGAATTGAGTCTTCTCATAATTTGTTTTTCTCCATTTGTTTACTTGAATTTGGGGTGTGTGCACGTGTGTGTAGATGGTGTAGTGAAAGTTTTGGAGCAGGATGTATCTGCAACGTTAGAAAGAAAGGATATTATATACCGGAAACACTCTGCTGACGATATGGAAATCTTTATTTTCTTGTATGTTGAAAATTTGACTTGCTCAACCATGTTGCATCGGTTCTTGTTCAATTTTCTGAGACGAAGCATATGTGGAGTCGAATTGTGTCGGAATTATTTTAATATCTCATTTTGCCATCGTTTAATATATGTGCGAAGTCTTCGTAGCAACGTCCCTGAATTATTTTGAGTTTCATTTCAAGATTAACCCAAAAAATTCTTTTAGCTAAGATAGGCCCAGACAATTCTTCCTTCTCTTTTGTTTAGAACCATTTGCCATCAGAAAAGCGAGAAACACATATAAGAATGTTGCATGTTTCCTCTTAGTGATAGTCTCATGATGGGGTTGACCATGTGATTGCAATTCAAGCAGAGTATCGACGTAAAGGTTTGTTGTGTATGCAGCATCCAGGGTGGACCCAATGCATCTTGAGTATTTTACCTTCTCTGGCCGGGTGATAGCTTTAGCTTTAATGCACAAAGTGCAAGTGGGCATACTTCTTGATCGTGTTTTCTTCATACAATTGGCTGGAATGCAAGTTTCCTTGGAAGATATCAAGGACGCTGATCCTGTTTTGTACAGAGGCTGCAAAGGTATACTAGAAATGGATCCTGAGGATGTTGATTCCGATATCTTGGGGCTAGCTTTTGCAACAGAAGTTGAGGAACTGGGAAGGAGAAATGTGGTGGAGCTCTGTCCCGGTGGGAAATCCATTGCTGTGAACAGCAAGAACAGACACCAATATGTTGAACTTCTTATAAAGCATCACTTCGTCACATCTATCTCGGAACAAGTATCACACTTTTCTCGGGGTTTTAACGACATCCTTTCAGATCCCAAATCACAGAGATCCTTCTTCAAGGGTATAGATCTTGAAGATCTCGATTGGATGCTTCGGGGCCAAGAAAATGGCATCAATGTAGATGATTGGAAGGCACACACTGAGTACAACGGATTCAAGGACACTGACAGCCAAATCGTCGGGTTCTGGAGGGTAAGTACATTCTTGCTGAATTCTGTGGATAAGTTGTGATGTAGGGATATTTTTTCTTGATATGTTTTTGCCCGCCAAACTGATGCTCTGTTTGGTTCCCGAATCGACTTTTGAACTTATGTGACAGCAGTATCAGGGTGTTGGCGGGGGTATCCGACATGCTCTAACCCATTTCACCCTGAATGTTGTTGAGACATACAGAATGAATAATTTAGTTTGATCAAATTTTAAGATGTTCTAGAATAAGATATATTGGTTGGATTATATGTGTGGTCGATTGACATGACGGTCAGTTTTGGGTCTGCTGTAGTAGCTCTGTTATTACAGTGGTTAATTTTGGAATGAATGCACAGTATATAATACATAATGATCTCTTAAGTTTTGCTGGTTATACATGTTTATGTCAAGATTCAGTCCTTTCTGTGGGATAATATAAATTGAAAAGGGGGAAAAGAAAACTATTGCAGATTGTGGAGGGAATGACGGAGGGTGAGAAGAAGACACTGCTATTCTTCTGGACATCAATCAAGTTTCTACCGGTGGAAGGCTTTGCGGGATTATCATCGAAGCTTCAAATCCACAAGCTGTACGAAACTGGAAACCGACTTCCGTTGTCTCACACATGCTTTTACCGCATCTGTATTCCTGTTTACTCATCACTCGAGATCATGGAGCAACGTCTCAGATTCATCACCCAAGATCATGTCAGCTCCAGCTTCGGCATCTGGTGAATACCAAAGTAACTCTCTCTCTTCCCCTGTCTCCTAGAAGCTCTCTCTCTCTCTCTCATCTCCTGTATCCTTCCATATGTTTCGGATAAGAAAAGAAAAAGGAGCAGCTTAGTTCAGTTGTTTCTCCGGTTAGAAAGTAGATTTTTGGTGCGCGTGTGGCTGTACAGTTTCTTAGTTGGGGGGTTAATGTATGAGGATCGCTCAAGTTCATATGCCGAAATGAACATGGAGGAGAAAGAAGGAGAAGGAGGAGGAGGAGGAGGAGGAGGAGGAGAAGAATTCACTGTGTAGGGGCATATGATTGGTTAGTGTAAACCATGAAAGCTAAGAACGGGACAGGTTGTGGATACCATCTAACTGAAACGTCCCATTTGCATTTGCATTTGCTTGTACAGTCTCTTGTGGCCAAAACATAATGTGTCTGTAAGTAAAAAGGATTTGTGGATCAAATGATGCAATGACATGACAGTGAAATAACCCCTCCACCCCCCCCCCCTTTTAAATAAAAAAATGAATTATATCTGTTTTCACTTGGATCTTCTCCTCTGCAGTGCAGGTGTAGGATGGAGACATACATATAGTAGAAATATACAGAATGATATAATCAAATGAACTATAAATATATGAAAGTTTCAAAGTAAAAGTAAATTAGAGATTACATAACATATTTATAATTCTCTCTAAATTTCTATTTTCCAGATTTGATAAGATCTTTATGACATGTTCATATATCTCAATACATATAATTACACTATCGTTGCAGGCCCCCAAGTGATCCGCACAAAAACCAAATCAAGAATGAACTAAACCGAAACCATATGATATTTGGTACATGAGTTTCTGGAGAAAAGCACATAAAGCATCCAGCTATCGAATATTCTGACTTGAGAAGCTTAGGTAATATATCAGATTTCGTGTAGAGGTTTCTACAAACTCGAGACATTTTCGTAACATGACAGAAGAAGCAGATGGTGAAATTCAAGTGAAGGCAAGTAGAGACAGAAGATGAAGAATATTCTCATGTTCCAAGTTACCATGTTCAGCGAACGAGTTTTCTCAACACGCATTCTGCACGCTGCTCGAATCTAGGGAGAGCCCACTCGTGCTGAATTATGTCGAGGCCGTCCTTCTCTGCGCTCAGGCTCTGCTCAACGGTCACATGCATTAAAACAGAATTAGGGTTTTGCACCAAATTCAGGAATGACAACAGCTGAGAAAAACCTCAAACGAAAAGGTTAATAGAAAAAACTTTGAACTTTATACTTCAATCCCATGGTAGAATTTCGTCAAACTTTTAGCAGCATTTGGTGAATTGGAGGTCTATATCTACTGATTTGAACTTCTTTTCGAAATTTCAAGAAATTGGAAAAACCTAATACTTGCGAAAAACAGTTATCAACAAGTGAGTTCACAGCGCCAAATACTTGCGAAAAAATTATAAAAAAAAATCTGCAGTAGAGGAATTCCAAGACACCAAACATGTAGCCAAAGTTCCAGTAGAAAGGGACAAACACAAAGAGACTAATAAAAATGACAGCATAGAGCAGTTTCTTTCAAGTGCGTTCTATTACAGAAACATCGAAGAAATGTTTCTCGATATAATTTATGGCTTAGTACTATGTCAAAGGAACATGATTGATGATGGACAGATAAACATACAATGAATGGAAAAGGAAAACGTCAAATGATTCCAAAAATGTTTTTGATTACCTTTGAAGGATCGAACCCAAATCCACCCATTTGCATCATCCGTTGAGTGTCGTCGATTGCTGTATAAGGAACACACATTATAATGACCACCTAAAACCCAAGAAGAAATTGGAAAGACCTAAAAGAAACTTTTTATGAATGTGCTGCATACTTGAACGTGTTGAGATTATATTTTTTTGGAAAGTTACATATGAGAACTAACCATTTTCATCTCCCAAAATGAGACTGAATAAACCTCTCAATCCAAACAAGTTGAGGAAGTACCTGAAACGTGGAAGAACACAGCTCATGATACTAAAAATGGAGAGTTACTCAAAAGAAACCTGATAACCATATGGAAAAAAACCCGAGAGATATTGACATGGTTAACATACCATGAACGACTGCTCACATAGCTGACATCGACAGTGCTCAAGTCGATGCCATTCTGTAACATTGACCTGAACCTCTGAGTCAGTGGGAATGGTATTTTGGCTGTGAGATTAGAAGGACAAAAATGAGGAAGTTTCAGATGCTATGGCATCATAAAATCACAGACTTCTGGGGAAAATAGGAGATGGTAAAACACACAAAATCCATGGAATGTGAAACAAATTCATATCTGCTGACTTGAAAGTGAAAAATAATAACACGGAACAACAATTTTAAAGGACACATACCTGCAACAAATCCAGAGAAGAAGAAGTTGACCCAGGCAAAAGTGAGCGTCTGGCAGATGGTAAATACATCAGTGTCCTAATTCACTAAAAATATAAAGATAGATGAATACTTTCCATATCGTCTACCTGCGGGATGATCATCGAAAGGTTTTTCTTCATCATGTCCATGGCCATATTAGGATCTGAAAACATCTGGGCTTGTGCATTCTGAGCTTGGTCCTTAGGAACATGCAGTAAACCATTCTCCTGCAATACATAACGTACGTATTTCTCAATTCCTTATCCAACATGCACAGACTATAGAGCCGAAGACCAGAAGAGCCGATAACAATCCTCGCATAATGAAATTGTTTCCTCGATCAAAACAAGGTCATAAGAAAAAAAACGAACTTCCTTACGGAGACACTTAAAGCATTACTGGTGTCGTTCTTCCAGACTTCCAGTTGGTCACGGATAATAGAACAATAATTTTGGTACGTGGTAGATAACTGAATCGGCATGAAAAATTCCCATTCTCATAACCTTTCTAAGCATAAATGATCGACACTAACAAGTAAGCGTCTAAAGTATTGGCTGCTTATAGACGTTTCTGTAAAGAATGGGATGTTGTAACCAATCCCAGAACCAATTATGCACTGGAATGCCTTTCATCTTCTTCTAAAACTTATATTTTTGGGTAAAGCTCATTCATTTGAGGAAATAAACAAGACTTTGGAAAACAGAGATCTTCAAGTACCGCTGAATTTAACAGATCAGAGGGCTTGAAGCTCAGAGGAATCAAACTACACGATGAGGCAAATCTACTTCACAAGCGAATTACGTTATACTAATGATGAAAAGCAAGAAAATTCCTAATCAGAATCAGGAAAACACGAAAGTGCAAATCTAGAACACAGACGTCGTTGCTGAAGTAGAATCTCCGAGCTCGGAAAGATTTGGGAGGTATAAAATTGGCACCAGCCTTCAGGTTCCGAGCCCTAACAATAACCTGCCTGGGAAATCACATACGAAAATAAAGAAACGCATCAAATCGAAAACACAGAAACAGACAAAACTCTACGCGTGCCGATCGGGAAGAGACTAACCCTTCTTTGACAATCTTAGGATCTGGAGGCTGAGAAGAGCGCATGAGCTTGGCGACAAAGTAGCGGAGAATACCGATGAGGACCATGACGACGGAGAGAGGGATGAGAACCCAATCTCTAATCGCTGTGTCTAGAACCAGATCCTCCGCCATTGATGAAGCTCGCTTCTACTTCGAACTCTCACCCTAGGGTTCGAACTACCGTCTTCGCCTGCTTCTCCTCTCTGCTCGATCCGCTGAAGGAAACACGACCTCGAGTATGAGTTTCCGATGAAGAAGATTGCGCCCTTTTTTTTTTCTTTTTTTTTTGCCGATCACCGATTCACTGGTTCCGAATCCTCTTATCCAGCCAGAGGGTCCGAATCTTGGAACAGGCAAAATCTATTTCTCTCATTTGGTCTCACAATTTCAAACGGGCCGTAGTTACAGAAACTGAGCCGACAATTTAAACATGCATGGATCCATTACAGACATCCTTTAAGCAAACTTTTTCGATTAAATAAATAAATTTCGGGTAATTATTATTATTATTTATAAGCCATACGATTATTGACAATAGGTATGGACAGTCATACAGATGAAATGAACAAATTCGGGTGGTTTACTATGATTTGTATGACAATTCGATATGAAAATTTGGATAACTTTAATTGGACTGTACCTCTAGTGAATAAAATTCATTCCAAATGGTGAACCGATGTATTTTTGAGATTTGATTAAAATAAAAAAAAGTATAAAAATCATATAGTTCCAACGCTTTCGGATAGAATCTGTAGAGACCAAAATAATCTTATATTCTTTACTTGAGATGTGTGTTTTTTTTTTTTGCTTTGTCTTGACAAACTAAAACTCCATTGATTCGTTTCTTCATCGCAGTTGCTTGTTTTTTATATAAATCACTCTTTATATCCTCAAAAACATTTTTAATAACTATTTGCAAATAGATTTAAATAAAGCATATCAAATTAGCAATGGCAACTATAAGGGTTTCGTCCATTAGAAATCCGTTTTCTTCTACAATTTGTAGAAATATATATCGATATAAATCATTTCGCGGTTCCACAAAGAGTTTTTGTTCGCTACCATATCTCGGAAATGGGTCTATTCGACAAAGTTTTCGGGTGGGAAGACAGCTCTCATGTTGTAAAACGTTCAAACGCCGTTTGAATGCGAAAAAGACAGATTCCGAAGATGACGAGGAAGAAGATGAAGATGAATCAAAGGCAGTGGAAACAGTTTTACAATTGTACACAGATATCAAGAACAAGAACATGAAAGGAGTTGCTGAAGTCATTGGGGATGAATGCAATTGCTTCTGCAATTTCTTATCCACTTTCCGGTCGTTGCATGGCAAGAAGGTAATACATATATATATATATATATACACACCCATAATCATATCCTTACTGTATAACATTATTATCATCATATGACATCTGATATAATATTGTGAGAACTTGAAACATTAGAAGAAGAGTTATTCTTACATAGCATCTTCTACTGAAATCATCCAATATAGGTATAGTTAGTAGGGTAATTTTTTTTGCACCGGAAAGGGCATAACGGTAATTTTGTGGTGTAGCAAGTATTGGCATTCTTCTACTGGTTGATGAAGATATTGGGGGAGAACACAAAGCTCGTGGTCAAACCCTCCTCCAAGAACGGCTTGACCGTCGGCGTCCACTGGCGACTCGGTTTGTCCCTCCTCTCTCCTTCCGGTTAACTCTTAACCGATAAAACATTTCAAATCGAAACAAAGTACCAATCTCGGTACAGGTTGGTACTTCCATAACACAGGTTCGGTTTGGTTACCGGTGTACCGGTTGGATGCCAATCACCAACCACTCGGGTACAACTACACCAAATCGGTACCAAATCAAACCAGATGCTATGGGAATTGTCATGACAGGTTCTTGTGTGATCCGCAGAATGGGAGAAGCCGAACATTCCTCTGGGGAAAGGGTTCAGCTTCCACATCTGCCATGTCTATCAGGGGAAGCTACTGATAAAGTCGGTTAACCATTAAGTTATCACCCACGATTTTGTTTACAAGTTTGTGATGATGACAAAAGATTTAATACCCATATAATCAAATCCAGGAATCTAGAGATGTTCATGGAGCCAATCTTTCACATGGAACCTATAAGACTTGTAAGCATGATCCATCATAACTTAAGTTTTTGACATCATATGATCAAAACAGTTAGATTGTCCTGATTCTGTTTGTTTTCCCTCTCTGTTGCAGAAAGCCATAGCTTTTGCGGTGAGCATGGCAGAGAAGATGAGCACTTACATGAGACCTGGAGAGAACACAAGAAAACAAGCCATGACCCTCCTTTTGCTTTCTCTGGTTCTGCTCACAGTAGCCATAGTCTACTTCACACGACCGAGGTTCTGCTGAATGCAAAATCACTAACCAAAAACAAAAAAAAGTCTGAAACAACGGGTGAAGCCCGGGAGAACTTATCGGTAGGCTGCTAAATATTCCATATCTAATGTTATAGCTTAGAAGCAACAGCGAAACCATAAATTGAACATGGTTCTACACATCGAAGGGCAAAAGGCATAAATACAAAATATCCTCGCGGTTTGCCCATGAGCTACATTTCCCGACTAAACAGGAGCCAGAGATATCCAGGGTATTGTAAATACGATATTCACCCTAACCATGTCGATACACAACCAGCTAAACAGATAACACGAAGGAAGATTAAAGAAACATAAGCAAGTTAAGCAAAAAAAAGGTTTCTTCCTATCAGAGTTCTAGTCGCACCTGCAAGAAAATCAAGATATAGAAGTCAGTTGTAATATTAGTATATATATATACACATATAGTGTGTGTTCTGGAAATAAACATGACTTACACTACTACTAATTAAAGTCAGCCCATCTGATATCACGACCGCTTGTACATATGACGCCTCAGCATCTCATTTATCCCCACAGCTGAAATGCTTTCACATCCAAGAAGATCCCTAAGCTTTTCATCACACTGGATTGCCATTGGATTCGAGGGATCCTGAATACAGTTGAACAAAAAAATAAAATATAAAGAAAAAAGATATTGCTTAATTACCAGATGCTTCTTAGAAAGCACTGGCGTTTTGGTTTTCTTATTTCACAGCTAATTAGATAGATAGGTCATCAACCATGCTTCTAGGACACTTAAATTTGACATCTACTCTCAATGATTGTCTTATTGAAGGAAGGCAACAAAATAAGCTTTCTGCACCACCAACCGAACAGAGTATGGAAGCGTACGGCAAGCAGAAACCGAACAGAGTATGTGCAAGCCCGCAAGAACCGTAGATAAAAAAGAACTCACCTCCAAGTGATTGAGTTTTATGTGTTCCCAAACACGCTTCATAACTTCTGTTTCCACCATCTCTGTCTCACCTGTTGCAAAGAACTTAGCAAGGGACTCAGATAGTACAATAGTTGAACTGACAGCCTCTGTGGTTTCTTCAGTCTTAGACTCGACATCCACTTTTACCCGTTTGGCTTGACCAGTTTCCTCTGCCAAAGATATTCAATAGTCAGCAAGCATAATGGAACTATAACCAAGGCCACTAGCAGTTAAGCAAGAACCTGTTTCACCATAAAAATGGAAACTTTACTTGTCGGGTCAAGCGGGAGAATATGTTTTGCGAGCAGCTTATTCATTTTAAACATGTCAGTGCAATCTGTCTCGAAAACAACTCGCAGTGCGTCGTCACATATGATCTTCCGCTTGTTACTCGGATCTTGGAGGTTGTTCTTCCTTATATAAGCCCATAATTGCTTCACAATCTGGAATCAAAAGCCGAAAACAGCAGTTTTCTCAGAATCTACTCCAATACATATCACGTCAACCATTTCAAGAACAGTGAGTTAAGGAAGCTAGCTAAGTGACCTCAGTCCTTGGAAGATAATATAGCATGTGTCATTGTCATGGTTATTAATCATGCATGTTTCTGCAGCTGGCAAATGTAATGGGCCGTTTCCAATGGCTGACTTGCCCAAGAGAGGTAACCTCGTCTTGGAGGTTTCTGTTCCGCTTGTTCTTCATTTGACAGCTTCCTTGAAATTGATTTGCCTTTCGGGTTCCCCAACTATGGCCTGAAGTTCAGGAGACACCCCACAGACTTTATTAAGACCCCCGGGACCACCCTTTCTCTTGGATCCAGCTGGAGCACTGTAATGAAGAACATTGGGAAGACAAACCCAGGTGATGGACTTTGCATTGAATGCAGTAAACTTCCATTAAAATACACACGTTTGGAGATATTGCTTGACAATTTGGGCAAAAGAACAGATAATTTACAAAAAAAGAAAAAAGAACCACATTTTCAAAGCGCACTGATTCAGTACTACTGAAGTGAGAAATTACCACAGAAATCGAATGGTTTACATTTATACGTTCAAGATATTCTGTAAACTACATGTATCCCTAAAACCAAGTAAGCATAATTTAACCTAGAAAAATGTTATTGCTGCAGCAAATCGCTAAATACGAACGTTGTACCCTAATTGACGAAATTGAACCCTAAAAAATTTGCACAACGGACCTTTCTTTCGGGGCCTTAACTTGATCAACAGAGACAGCAGCGTTCACGCCTTGAGTAGCCCGCAACTGCGGCTGCTGCGAAGGCGGAATCTGCGGGACAGGCACCGGATAAGGCTGTTGGAAATTGAGGTCATAGGAGTGGTGGGGAGGCTGAAGGCCAAAATGGGAAGGGAATTGATGGGGCTGATTATCATGATGGTATTGCGAAGGGTGGTGGAGGGCGAAGTGGGATTTTGCAGGCACATTGACGGCGGACTGCGGCGGAGGAGGAGACGGTTGCACGGCGGAGGCGGTTGCGTCGGCGGCGGAGGGGTGAGCGCCGAGGAGGAGGTTGATCTGGTCGCGAATGAACCCTGTCTTCTCCGATAGGTCTAACCCTAGCTTGGCCTCGAGCTGTTGAACGACGCCGTGAAAGGACGTGAGCGAATTCGGGTCGGATTGACGGAGAAGGGTCTCGACCCCTTTCGCTATTTCCTGGTCCGACACCATTGGCGATGAGAATTCAAAGCTTGATATAGCTCACGGCACCAAGGAAAAAAAATAAAAATAAAATCCAAAAAAAAAAAGAAATACCCCACAGAAGAAATCTCTCTCTCTAAACTCTTCTTCCTCTCTCTACCCTTGTTTGTTTCTTTCTCTCTCTTCTTCGTCTTCTCTGTCTTTCTCTTTCTCTCTCTCTTTATAACTCTTGGAATGACGAAAATGCCCTCCACGGTTGGTTTGATTTATTGGCTAAATGTAAAGGTCTAATTTACCCTCCTAATTCACAACATCTGGCACAGTACGGGTGAGGGTAGTGTTGTCATTCTGTCTTTTCAGTTTCACTCCCTGTCCTTATCCCAACTTTAGATAATATATTGACGAATATACCCTCAATGATTGTGAGTTTTTTTCGCTTGGTAAGTCAGGCTGGGGATAAAGGTGGAATTTAACAAACAAATATGGATCGTGGGGTCCGTATTTTATCGGATTAAAGAGAGAACGGGCGATTTCCAATTATAGCGCAATTAATATTCTTAGTTTTAATGTAAAGTAATATATAATCATGAAATTTCAGCCTCATTTCAGAATATGGTTAGAAAAGGAATTCAGATACTAATCTCGTATAAAAATATAATTAAACAAATAATTCTCCACTAATCATCTTAAGATTTCGATTATTTTCTATAACAAAAATCCCCATATGTGAATTTGATAGTTACTTCCATAAAAAAACAATATAAAACAATCTAATCGATATATTATGATTTGTTATTGAAGCCATTAAATAACAGCAAATGGAGTATATGGTTCTAACTAATACATAATGGGGCCCAAAGAATCAAAATTCATAAAAACGATGAAAAAATATGAAGCCCAATAAGAAGAAAAAGGCCCAGTCTTTAATGGGTCAGTGTTAACTGGTGATCCTCAATTCTTTACACAAAAGGATAATTTCCAAGCCCATCTGATAAGTAGAGTTCAATGTCAATCAGTATTTCAATTCAACCCTTAAGCTGCTAAGCATGCATATATATCACTGTTCATGATTTGGTATGTATCGGTTTAGATTCGGTTTACGGCCGGTTAACTATTATTCGATTTGGTTTTTTGTTTCCCTTCATTCGCGTTTTTTTTTTCAGTCGCTTCTCTTCTTCTTCTTCTTCTTCTTCTTCTTCTTCTTCTTCTTCTTCTCTCTCTCTATAACTGAGGTCGCGAATAGGTACTGTATCTACTCTGTGTATGCGCATCTATTCTGTGTATGTGCAGACATACATACATCGTGTTCCCAGATTTCCATGCGAAAATGCATGAGTTCTCCTTTGTTTTCCGCGCCTTACTTGTCGTAGATTTGGCCTCCAAGATGATTCCGTAAGACCTTTGTTATGTTTGAATTTTCGTGCTTGTTCGTTGTTCTGTGTGGTTCCTGTTTATTATTCGCCTCTGATTTTTCTTCTGGATTTTCGTTAGTTGTTTTTCCCTGTGGTGTATTTCCCAGAGAATTGTATAGAAATTCACAGAGCTTCAGGTATTGTTCTAAACATATTGACACTAGGTGAAAGAGGAACTAAGATCACCAACGAAGGAAAGCCCTGGAATCATGCAGAAGGAGAATTCTGCTGATGCTCCATCAGCTCCTACTGCTCGCCTTCGGCACCGGAAGCGACAGAGTGATGTATGTTTCCTGCAATTCGGATTTCCAGATTAATCCAAATCATGGTTGATTCCTATGCATTCATGTTGTTATCGCCTTAGTTCAGTTGCATTCCGGTATTAGGAAGTTGTTGTCATGCCAAATTGGCTGTATTCCATTTAAACTTGGTGTCGTAGTTATTCATGGAAAAATTTACTCTTCATATGATTGATTTGTATCCGTGTTGATTCGATGTACAATTCTGAAATTGGGTTTTAGGTTGTTCCGGAGACGGGCAAACCAGATGGAAGGGATTTACTTGTCGATGATCGTAATAAATACAAGTCATTTCTCGTTCGAACACATTCCATTGTCTGGATGATCGGTGGTTTTGCTCTAATTGTCTATATGGGCCATCTGTATATTACAGCCATGGTTGTTATCCAAATATTCATGGCACGTGAACTTTTCGATTTGCTAAGGAGGACTCATGAAGATAGGCAACTCCCCGGGTTTCGGTTATTGAATCGGTAATGACATTTGCCTACTTCTTCTCAGCTCTTCGTTTTCCTTTTTTTTTTCTGCTGATGCTGTTGAAAACTCTCCAAGAATAAACTGGTTTGAAAGGTTTCGAACACTTTTTCCTCCTCTTTTGAATTTTGTACGTGTTGCTTTGAGTAAAATTAGTGCATTAATCGGGCTTCATCTATGGTTGCGACGAAGATGTTAGTCACAGGATAAAAGTGGGATGGATAAAATGGAGACAAGCAACGGGGTTCTTTGCGATCTTAAGGTTCCTTTACGGTTGAAAGGGAAATTCTACCGTACCGCCATAAGATCCCATGTATGGTAGCGAATGTTGGGCGGCGAAAGGATAACATATGTCTAAAATGAGTATGACCGAGATGAGGATGTTGAGAAGGATGTGCGGATACACAAGGATGGACAGAATTAGGAATGAAACTATTAGAGAGAAAATAGGTGTAATAGGTATAGAAGAGAAGTTAAGAGAGAGACGTTTAAGATGGTTTGAACATGTACAACATAGGCCGATGGATGCGCCGGTTAGAAAAGTGGTGAGTATAGGAATGAGGGTGAAGAGAAAGGGAAGGGGTAGACCTAAGCTTACTTGGGAACGTGTAACTAGGAACGACTGGAATTGTTACAAATTCCGAAAGAGCTAACGCAAAACCGAAATGAGTGGAAACGACGAATCCATGCGGTCGACCCCAAATAAACTTGGGACTAAGGCGATGTTGATGTTGATATGTTGAACCGGGCTTCATCTATGCTCCATTCTATGCAGGCACTTCTTTTTCGCTGCAATGCTTTTTGTATATGGTCGAATACTTAGTCAGTGGCTAGTCCTTTATCATGATGAGCGATGTCTTTTTCCAGTGATTTTTCTCATATTTAAGTCACTTTTGATGCGGATTACAGGCTTTGTGTGGTTTATTCTGACACTGAAAAAGAAGATGTACAAATATCAGTTTGGTCAATATGCGTGGACGCATATGATCTTAATTATGGTATTTACTCAGTCATCATTCACCGTTGCGAACATCTTCGAAGGAATCTTCTGGTAATCCATTTTGGAACATATGTTTCCTGGTGCTTTGAACATGTCTTAACATATGTTCCCTGATTCATTTTGAATCTGATTTTCCTACATTGCCTTGGCATTTGATCATGACAGAGCTACATCTTATGCTTTGTTGAATCATTAATTGTTATATTTCTAACTCTATTTTTCTATTGCCACCAATTTTCGGTGCAGGTTTCTTCATCCTGCAACGCTTATCGTTATCAATGACATCTTTGCATATATTTTTGGTTTCTTCTTCGGGAGAACACCTCTGACCAAGTTATCGCCAAAGAAAACATGGGAGGGATTCATTGGGGCATCTGTAACCACAATGATCTCTGCATTCCTTGTAAGCTTGCTTCCTTGGGTATTAGGTATAGGCTCATATCTATTAAGTAATATATTCAAGTATCATGATTGTTTACAAATTTCAGAGGATTTAACCCAAAATCGGAATGAATGGAAGAAAAGAATTCCTGCAGTCGACTCCAAATAAACTTGGGATTGAGGCGTTGTTGTTGTTGTATTCAAGTATCATGATTTTCATGTCTGGTTATTAGAGCTAAATTTATGCCTCTGGTCTGACTATCTAGGTTGATGTCATGAATTTTGGCTGTGGACTTGTTATTTAGAAATTATTGCCAGCGTGATGTATCTGATGTGTCTGTCTTGCCCTCAATCAACTATATTTATTTTACTTGGGTTTATGGCTAATATAGCATGTGTCATTGTCATGGTTATTAATCATGCATGTTTCTGCAGCTTGCAAATGTAATGGGCCGTTTCCAATGGCTGACTTGCCCAAGAGAGGTAACCTCGTCTTGGAGGTTTCTGTTCCGCTTGTTCTTCATTTGACAGCTTCCTTGAAATTGATTTGCCTTTTGTTCGTGGACTGTTATAAATGAAGGATCTATCAACTGGTTGGCACCATTGTGATCCTGTCCAGTGTTCAAGCTTGAGACCCACACTTTACCGGGATGGATTTCGAAATGGGTAAGACTAATCTGAACGGTAGAAAAGTGTTGTTGATTGTCGATCTTTGTAACATCTTAACCGAGCAAATTCAAAATGCTACTCGAACTTTTTCCTTTTTCCGTGGAAAAAGGTTTCTATTTTGCCAGTTCAGTGGCATGCTTTGTGTCTTGGCTTGTTCGCCTCTATAATAGCACCTTTTGGAGGCTTCTTCGCCAGTGTTTTTTCAGAGAGCTTTCAAAATCAAGGTTTACCTCAGAGATGCTTCATATAAACCCCCTAATCCCTACAACTTTGCGCATTTATCTTTATGCGTTTAAGCTTTTGCTTTTTCATTTCCAACATTCAGGACTTTGGTGATAGTATTCCTGGACACGGTGGAATCACAGATAGAATGGATTGCCAGGTATACACACACACACACACATATATATATATATATATATATATATATATATATATATATATATATATATATATATATCGGTTGAAAAAGAAGTGCAAATGACTTGAATCAAAATATTCTTTACTAATTCTAAGGACGCATGCTTTTATTGTGTCTGATATGGTCGTGTTTTTATACTTTGGTCTCAGATGGTGATGGCTGTTTTTGCATATATCTACCATCAGTCCTTCGTTGTACCCCAAAGCTTACCTGTGGAGAAGATCCTTGACCAGGTAAATTCATAATGGCATCATACGCCATAATTCTTGTTCCTTTTTACTATCAACCTATCAATTAGCTGCATCCTCATCATTTGATATTTTGCAAGAAACAAAAAATCTGAAACCTCTTTAAATATTGATTATCCAGTACAGCACCCTGATCACTTCATGAAAATTTAGGAAATCTTACAAAATTACAGATCATCACAAGCCTGGCACTGGAGGAGCAACAAACTCTGTTCATGAAGCTCGGACAAATGTTGCAGGAAAGGTTGTGAAGTGTGTTTCTGGTTGGTTTGGTTAAGCTGAGTGGACTATACGCATTATGCACATACTTTGTATAGTGTTCTCATATCAAGCAAGTAGTCTTTATATCCATGTAATTAGTATACTCCTTTGAAACTTTGATGGTTGTTTTATGTGATTTGATGGTTTCAAATCTAATGAAGAAAATTTTCTCCTAATCTTTAGCAAGTATTTAGGGTTCAAAACAAATCGAGGAGAATTTTGATGAATGGAATCAAAGCTTTAGACCTGAAATCAACAGAATCAGAAACAGAAAACAGAATGCCTGAAGAATGGAAAACTTTTATGGTACACATTCTCCTCGAAATCAAAAGGGTTGGTCAAATAACTAAGAAAAAGAACAGCTTTCAGGCTTCAGCAAGTAACCACTCTCTATCAGAAGAGCCACAAAAGAAAAAAAAAATCTAGAGTCTGTATTGAACTTCAGTGTTTCACCTGCCAAAAAAAAGAACTATGTTTTGCCTTTGGCCATCTTCTCCTCATTGGGATTTTGGCTTCTGGATCTTGACATAAGGAAGAACTCCCAGAAAGTATTTCACTTTCGGGCTCCACCCTCGTTGCTGGGCACGACAGAACATCAGGAATGTGTTTGCAAAGTAAGAATTGAAACCCATGAAGACATGCCACAGAGCATGTCCCTGAGGGTTGACAGGCCACTGAGATATCGTCTTGCAGAAAACACGGTCACAGAACCAGCAGATACTCCCCATGAGAAGAGTAAACACGTACCACTTTGCAAGGCGTTTGGCTGCAATATCGTCGGTGTAAATGTAGTATTTGTACATCCGAGGAATGCAGAGGAGGCAGAGGATGACGTAGTGGACCTTGAAGCCGATGCCAAACCGGACAAAGGCATGGACTATGGCAAATGCAGCGCCGTAGAGGAAGAGAAAAGTGGGCATAGTGCTTCGGTAATGCCAATCTGGTGAGTAAAGGATGTACATGTACAGAAGTATCTCCCAAACCATGGGTGTCTCATCACTTTGCTGTTGCCTGCTTGGAGACAAGAGACAAGGATCATAACCCGGTTTCTAAAGATACAAAAAGCGGATAAAATTCTGGGTTTTCTCGAAAGACTTTGATACTTCGAACCAAGATGCATACAGGTCGATCTGGCAACTATTTCATGCATACTACCATTCCCATAACTTCAAAAACTCCCAAGGTATAAAGTCGGGAATTCTACACGTTCCAGTAGTTATGATTGCAAAGTACTCCAACCCAATATTCGGATAAACAGTGACAGAATAGTAGCGGCGCATTTTGAACTTACACATGTTGCAAAGTGGCATGGTAGAGCATGCTGCCAATAGCAAGTATCAGATTGGATATATGAAGGATGCTAAACCTCTTCTCGAACCGTTGCCTTAATGCATTGAAAAGACCGATAAAAGCAAAAAGAACTCCGGGAACATTGGATATAGTGTTAAAGAACTCTGCAATATATGACGAGTATGCGTAGTTCTTCTCACAACACTCGATGGTAGAGGTCACAGGTCCCCAAAAGCTTGAAATGCCATCGTCCATTATACCCTCTTGATATATATATCGTGTACGAATATACTTTTGCAGTAGCCCGTCAAACTCGAGAATCACAAAAGTTGTGGAGGTTTCAAACCACGATCCTGCAGGAAACATAAACATACTTTCAGCACATCAAATTTCATCCCAAAAGGAAAAAAAAAAGGAAACTTTGATGGAACCCAACAACATGCAGACCAGAAATAATACACATTAGCTTCACCAAGAACTTCTCTCTCAAGATTCTAACAGAGATGAAAAGGACAATCTAAGGAACAACTATAAACCACAGGAAGTAGGAATACTAATGACAAAACCGAAACCGACATGCCAACAAAACCAAATAAGGTTTTTGAAAGATCTCGTGATAAATATGCGAACAGAATCGAGCCCAATAACAGATCAAATTGAGGACAGCAAAACCAGAATCAAACAAATAGCAACAAATTACAGTCGAATTCGTTCAAATGATCACATTGATCCATCGCCGACTACAACAGATGTGCTGCTCCGATCAAATACGAGAATTCAAAGAAACCAACTTTCGGAGCAATACCCAAATCACCGAAAATTCCAGAAACGAAAATGTTCCAGTCAAACAAGCAATGCCTCCTCTCCTCAGGGAAGAGCAACAGGATCCAAGCAAACTAAACAGATCCCACCCATCAAAAGCATTAATCTCGATCCACCCTTTTCCCGAAATTCACTAATCACGACGTATCAGAAACGAAAAACAAACGATCGAGGACAAGTAAACAACGCCATTCCAAAACGAGAACAAACCGTTTTCAAGCGAGACAAGGGAGAGATCTCCTTTGTCCCAGCGTCTTCTTACCGATTAAAACCCAGAGCTCAGATGAATCCAGCCGTGGCGGATCGGCGGTTTCTTCCTGTGGGGCGTCTACGTGCGTGTGTATTAACAAAACTGGGAACAGATCGTCTTCGGGAAGGAATTAAGAGTGAGCCGAAGATGACCTTTTTTTTCTTTTTCCGTAGAAGTTTTTTTCTCTCTCTCTCTCTCCCGGCCTTTTCTTTTTTCTTCTTATTTTGGTTTGTTCATTGGGTGGCAAGGGTATTTTAGACCTTTCGTGTTGTCGGAATCCTGGATTAATGTATACAACTTGGACCGCCGACATGATCTTGAACGTGGCATCTCCTTTATATTTATTTACAATATGCAGAAAAAATGAAAAATCACATGAAAACCCCAATATTTAAAGAATTTTGATAAAGTGTGTGGATACAAATATTTAAAAAAATTAACAACTTCAGCATTGAGATTTATATAGAATCATCATCATCCTAGGGATGGATGACAAATATACACACCCCTTATTTAATGACACATTGTTTTCATTAAAAAAAAAGAGTTTCAATGTATAGAAAAAGTTTTGTTTGGGTATTAACTATTATCTTGAAACATGCATAGATACATTCTTTTTTTTTTGTTTTATTTGTCAAAGAAATAAATTTTGGAATATTATTTTGTCCCAATCACTTCATTCCAAATACGCCCAACAACAATACATTTTAAGCCTATTTCCATTTTATTAATTAAAACCGAACTTATTCAAAGAAAAAAAATTAAACCCAATTCCAATTAAATAACAAAAATCAACAATATGAGTCCTCTGGGTCAGCCAGAGTCTTTGCTCGGGCGAGAAGTTATAGAATAACTCGGTGTATTTTAGACCCAAGTGAGTCCTCCATTAGAAAACCAACACGTGTCGGTAAACCTCCGATTGAGCAAGAGTCTTCCCTCTGATGAACTAATAAAAATGGCTTTCGCGTCAGAACAGCAAGATCTGGAGAAAGAGAGCGAGGAGAGTGTTTCTTTTTTGTACGGGGAGGGCAAGACGAACAATTTTCCTTTTTGAAAAAATCTCTACTTCCACAAAAATTTCCTAATCTGGAAAAATAGGACAGATTTTGTTCGGAAATCGGATTGGGTTTGGATTCGGATTGAGGAGTAAATCGTTGACTCCGGGTAGGAGATGGAGGGAGTTGGGGCCAGACTCGGGCGATCGTCGACCAGGTACGGACCAGCGACGGTGTTCACGGGTCCGGTGAGGAAGTGGAAGAAGAAGTGGGTCCACGTCTCTCCTTCCAACAAGAAGGACACCAGCTCCGCCACCGCCGTTAATGGTGGTTCGGCAGCCGACGGTAGCAATGGGCCGCATTTGTTGCTGTACAAGTGGGCTCCCTTGTTTCAGAGCAGCAACGGTAACGGCGGTGGTAGTGGTAAGAGCGAGAGTAATTCTCCGAGCGACGACTCGGGGACGGCGGCGGAGGAAGAGCCTCCGAGGCGGAAATTTAAATATGTTCCGGTGGGTTTTGTCGATTTTGGTACGGAATTTATATTTTTACGGCTTCCGTTGGGGATTCGATTGCTTGGTTGATTTTGATGAGTGGTTTAGGGTTTTCTCTTTCATAATAGAATTGAAAAGGATAAGTTTTGAGCTCTGAGAAGGTCCTATCGAAGGACTGCGTGTGGTGGGTATGTGCTTAGCATGGATTTGCCACTGAATTCTTAGGATATACTGTGGATTAGGGTTTTCAATGGTGGAGATACATGGGAATGTTTTGCAGGTGTTCGTTCGTGGTAAATGAGGGCAACAACTAGCTACATTTGTTCCTAATATCACCAATGTTCAGAAATTCGATTCATCAGTGGATGAAGAAGAAGGTTCATAGATTTTCTAGTAAATTTAGGGTTCTGCAAGTTTTGAGTTTATGGAGTTGGTGATTGGCTTTGATGGAGGAAGAAAGTGGAGAACTTTATTGCAATTTGCAGCTTGAAATATTTATGAATCTTCTTTGATTAAAGATGTGTAAAATTCAATCCTTATTTCCACGCACCGCAAAAGTATCTTGAAGCTAGGGAACTGAAGAACATGACATCTCTTTTTTTTCTTTCAACACATGAAGAACATGTGTGTGTACGTGTGTGTTTTTTCCTGATTACAGACTTTGTGAATCCAATTTCACTAGCAGTCGATTTTGAATGATGCAGATTGCCGTGCTAGAGGAGCAGAAGAGGGACACCACGGAAATTGAGGATGAGGACAAGGTTGAGGAGGATGCCAAGCCAAGTGATAATGATGCAGCAGATTCAAAGGAAAAGAATGGTGGTCTGGATGAAAAACCAGACATAAATGATGTTCCAGTTGAAGATAATAAACAGGTAAAAGAAATTGGCATTTAGTTCAATCTTTCCCACTTCTTCACTTGACTCTAGGCTTCATTTATACTGGTTGCTTACATTTGATAATCAATGGCTGATCTGGAAATTGCAAATAGATGTTTCAGATGAAAACTTTCTGGACTTCTAATGAAAATGTAAATGATGTTTCACTGTCTAGGAGGAGGATTATAAAAGTTGATCCTTTGATTCTGTGCAATTAACTTCCTTGAACAATCCTATATGGTTGGTTCTGTCTGCTTGCCTGTTTAAAGGGAATGCGTGTCTTTTCAGGCACTCAAATGAACTGGGTTTCATAACTTAGGTTGTTATGCTGATTGCATAGAGGAAGACACTGAACCTTTTCTCTCTTTTTTTTTTTGTTCTGGCAGGAGGATGGCAAAATGGTAAGGCAAGATCTGAACAAGAGCAGTATTGATTTAAGCCTAAACTTAAATGCCCACGACGGAGATTCTGAAAACGATCAGACAGCAGACATATTGGTAGAAGGGTGATGAACGAGAAGGCCAGGTCGGTCCGGGCATTACAGTTAAGTGTAAAACCAGGTTGAATGTCTTCGGTTATAATGTCTTAGGAACAAACAAAAGGCAAGAAAGAAAGCTACCGTAGAGATGACCAGCATCCACAGGAGAAATGTATCTTTGTTTCCTCAATTCAAGAAACATTTCATTACATTAACTATGCATTGTTATTTTACTGATACATTGGATAAATTTTGCATGGTTGTAGCTGTCATTCCGTTACCTAGAAATCTAACAGAGCTGAAAATTTTGAGAACCCAATAATGTCAATCGTCAAAGCGAGAACATGCCGTGATGTTTTCCAGAAGATTTCGTCATCCCTTTTAACATTGATTAATAGCAACAGCAGGATCTTGCTTCAGATGAATAATCAATGCCTGGAAAACACAAGAGCGTGCGATATGGATTTGTCAAAAAGTGGTAATGTCATAAAGAACCAATATAAATAGGTTTTGCAACATTTTGATAAACCATGGCATGCATCCCATGTGAACGAACCACGTTCTAGAAAAAGGGCCAAGATTTATGGTCATGGTGAAGATCTGGTCATATATATATACATATATATAAAACCAGTGTGTTGCATCTTATCTTCATGGAATGATTAAGTGGTACTGCGAAAGTAAAGTCGTTCTTACTTTGTTTTTTCCAGCAACTTAATAGCGGCCAGTCCCAGTCCCAGCCATTGCAAGAGGTTCCAGTTTTCCTGTGAAAAGAAATATCAAATTTGAGGGAAGAAACTAAATAAACCAGGATTCGGATGTGGACCATTACAATTCTGTAAATAAAAAAAAAGCAAACCAGGATTCAAGATACAGACTGTGATCCAAAAAGGACCATGAGAAAAAGAAAAAGTATAAACCATCAAAAGTTTTAGAGTCTAGTCTGGTTTCAAGGAAGAAGTTTGCAAAATCACCACAGCGAAAACGAGAACAAGCGCATTTATTAGAGTGGCCTTTCCACGGGTAAGAAAACTTACAAGGAATGATCACAGTACTGTAGTGCGACCTCCGGTATGTGTAACTGCTGATACAACAGAGCAGAATAAACTAATTAACCCATCAGAGCTATGAAAGGAACACGACCATGGAACAGAAAAAGGAACAAGATAAGTATGTCTGTACACCAAAAACAAGGAAGAATCTCCAAGAACACAGGAAGGATGTACCCCTATTTGTTGAAGGTAAGAACGTTTTCTCAGGAAGTTTAGCAGCCACCATCCATCTTTTCTCTCGTCTTCTTCTCTCTGAAAAAACTGCATCTTTTTATACAACGATGCGTATTGAAACGACATCGTTGCCATCTCGTTTCCTTTTTATTCATTTTCTCAGAAAAAACCAAATAATTCAGTATGAAAAATACAAAAGAAAATACAAATTGTTCTGCACGAATCAACAGTAACTTTTCACAAGATTTTCGTTGTTTCTTCATCATCATTCACAAGAACATAAAAAAAAACTCCTGCAAACAATAAAAAACATGGAATCTCAATCCTTTCAGCAATTACCAACAGAAACAGAAAAATCACTTGAGCTTTGTAGAAGCGCCAGGAGCAGTCAAGAGATTTCCAGAGTCAGACATGTAGTAGTAATTAAAATTGATCCTATTCACTAAATCTGCTAAATGTGGGAAATGTCCCACGTTGAGTTTCGATGACAACACCTGCAACCCATTTTCATGGAAAGAAACCACCATTGTAAGAAGATGAGGATGTAATCACTACTAATAAAAGATGGAATGGTCGTCGTAGGAGGAGGAGGAGGAGAAAAGGGTTTTATTACGCACTCTGAGGAGGAAAGCAATGCAGTCGTCGAATTGTTTCTCAATACGTTCTATCTCCATTTCGCATCTTGCCTTTATTGCTGAAACTTCTCCCCCACTGCTTACCGTCTTCTGTATCGTGTAGAATTCTAGAGCTAAGCCCAGAATCATGTTTATCCGACTTGCTATGATTGCCCACTAAAAAAACAACAATAGCTAACTATATTACTTGTAATTTGCAGATTCATGGAATCTTCAAGAGGTTTAGTATATGATAATCTACCAATTTTTCTTGAACCACGAAGCACTGACGCTGAATTGATAATAAGTAGATCTCATGTACTTCCATGACCTCATCCAGAGATCCTGCTTTCGCCATTGCTTCACAAAGTTCCCGCCATGCGGTATGATATACCTGCGTTCACCAATCTTTTATTAGAGTCCTAATTAAGCTTTTTGGTTATATATTTAATGTATATATCAAAATCTATATTCAGTTGTATTCTGGTCCCTACTGAGCCAACACTGGTACAATACGCAGCCCGGTCATGTCATTGATCAAGAGTCATATAATTCACTATATTTTACTCACAAAATTATGCCAACGAGTATAATATCGGGGAAGGAAAGACTGATTTTCACATCCCAGTCTAGTAAACTTCTAGTCTGGTCTGATTTTGTGGAAATATATCAGTAAAAAGTTGCTCCATTTCCTACAATTAGGATACCGACTCAATAGAGATCAAAGTATTACAAGACGTAAAGCATCAGACAAGAAGTTACCCTGTCCATTACGTATTGATGAAAAGCATCCACAAAATTGAGGAGTTTCTGTTCCAGTAACCAGTGGTTCTTCCGGATGGTTGTTCTGTAGCCCCTACCCTATGTTCACACAATCACCATTTTGTTATGTCTACCGAATTTAACCACATTGTTATTATATTTTTTCCAGCATGACAAAAGAAAAGAAACCTAAAATATGCAAGAAGCACCTCTATAAAGGACGAAAGAGATTCAAGAGACGAGAAAAACAGACCTTCCACATCCACCTCCGTGCTTTATCAAGCACGTATTTTGCTCGTTTGACCTTCAGCAAGAATCCCATCACCTATTTTTTTTAATCTATACGATTAACACAGTGCAAAGACCTTTTATTTTTCTTTTAAGATATAACCAAATAAGAAATGATTTACCTGGTTATATTTCTTAATAGCCTCACCATTCGCGATAAGCTCAAGTGGCCAAGACACCTACAAATGAGAATTCACTAAATCTGCAAATAAGATTTCACCAAAGGGCAAAGGATGAGTGAGATGGAATGTAAAGCGTGCTTTCGTTGACCTTGTATGTGAATTTCAGCAAATTGAGGCTGTCTATCCCAAAACTGTGATTACGGCTTTTACGAGGAGTTGACGAAAGGGGAACTGTGTCCGCATTGTCATCTTTATCCCCGTCTAATACACCTTCCCTGGAAATAGATACCACCAATGAATCAGGACTGCTCAACAGCATGGCATCAGAGGAGTTTGCAATTGATTCCTGGAGAGAATCATAGAAATATGTCTATGAGAATATGAACTGCGATAAGTCAGGGAATACATAATCAAGGGCTGGCATCTTGAAGCAAATTAACCTCTTCCTAGTGATCGTCACCATGTTATAATATGATCTCAGGATTTTTGGAAATAGAGTTTTAGCAAAACTCCGTTACCTGCAGTATTATGTTCAACTCAAAATCATCATTCCATGACTCTCCTTTATCCAGCCGACTGAATATGACGGTCAAAAAGTGCTGCAGAAGGTCACCTGAAGATGAATGGGTTATAAACACACTAGAGAGAATGGCTTTTACGCATAAGAGATTGAAACACGTTGAGTACCTGAACCCAACAAGTATATGGCCCGCAAAACCGCAAGCTCATGCATCAATCTCCAGTCGTTCATTAGCTTAGACAAAATCACTTTGCCAATGTAGTCCACCTACATCACACAAAACTTTGAGAAGGTAACAAAAGCTAAAGTATCCCAGAGGAATTCAAGGAAGTAGAAATGTCGGTACTACTCTACCTGCCTCCTGATGTAAATTGTAAGGCACTCCTGCATAATAACAACAGGAAGTGGAGTATCCCTTGGTTCTAATTTCAGCATCCAGCAGAGAACTCTTGAAGGAAGGGTACTGTCCTTTTGAAACGGTAAGAGTTCAGATATACAGAGATCCTCCTGAATTTGGATCACAATGATTTCAAGATGAGCCAAGAGAAGCTATTGCCAAAGGGAGAAGCTTAATGCACAAACAAAATACAACCATGGAATTGTCAGCATCTAAGTACCTGAAATGATGGAAGCAAAGTGGGAAAGGGAAACAAGGATTCTACCATTTTCATATCATCTTGAGAACAAAGATATTCAGATTTACCAAAATGGAATCCAAATTTATAGTCTGTTCCCCTGAATCCAGAACCTGGCACACTATTTCCTTTGAAAACAGCATTCCACAAGCTCTCGTCGTTAAGAGGGGGTAGACAGTAGTTCTGGGATATGTTCAGAATTTCCCAAGCCTTTTTATTCCTCTCAAGGGTCATTTTAGACACAGAAATAACTAGGTTTTCAGGACAAAACAACTCCTGCAATGCATTTTCGGCAGCTACACAACTTTTCTCCTCCTTTGTATCAGAAATATAACTTGCACTCTGGTTTTCAGGTTTGATATCCATTACCATTTTTTCTTCCACACCATCAAGGAAAAACTTATACCACATTCTTTCTGTGCCTTTGATAACTGGAAGAGATTTACAATCCATGGTATCCACCACTTCTCCGCTTATATATGATCCTAAAGTAGAAGTATTCTCCCTTTCAGGCAACCCGCCTTTCCAAATATATCTAGAGACGTGATCACCATGGCCTACGAGACCAGCAAGTGTAAGGCAAAAGACTTCGGACAAGGATAAGTCAGCAATGCTACAGCCGATACTGTGTTTAACCAGAGGAACACAGCTATCATGAGCATTTTGCTCATGGTACCTAATTTCTGCAGAATTTCCTGAAGACGCGGAAGGAATATGCCGGATCAGCTGCAATGACTTTCCAGCAGAAACAATCGACTGGCATATGTCCTTTATGAACAACGGGCATAGTAACACTTCCCGGTTATTCTGTCCTTTTTCTTTACAAGGAATAGGAGAAGAGTTGGAGTCATTTCCACCCATTCCTTTCTTGTCATTTAGCGAAGTGAAATTTAGTTTTTGGCTGTGCACCCACCTCAATAAATAGCTTCTCTCCCAGAACTCGGCCTCGTTAACTGATATCGATTCTTTGGCATAAAAGAACATCTGTATGGAACACATGTGAATACATGATTATCAAAGTAACAAGTTTAAAGTTATCAAATGGGATAGTAGAACAGAAAACCAACTCAGTTTACTGCAAGAATAAGTTTCCAGATGTCAGTATCATAAGCCACCCAGAATCAAATTTAAGAGCGCCAAAGGGCAAAAGACTACAAGATTAAAATATCAGACGGCTAACATCAAGCAAAAATAGTCGCTATGTCCAACGATTAATTCACTTAACTCCAAGAGAAGGTAGAAGGAAAGCAACTTAGAGCACAAACTCCAGATTAGAGAATTGTTGACCTTATAGCTGTAATCCAATTCCAATGATACCTACCTCCTGGAATGGATCATCAAGTGTTCCCTCAAAAAGCCATGAATCAAGACCCTCTATATACGGCAATAAACTTCCAGTAAATATTTGCAGCAGCATGTTATATGGTTCCTCCTGATTTCCAACATTATCACATAGCCAATAAGAAATCAAGGAGACAGTAAAGAGAAAGAACAACACAAAATTCACAAGAGCATAGCCACAACCTCACCACCTTGTACGAGACATACTTCATCCAGCTTCTTGTAAAGATAATCAAGGACATGGACAGCAATTTCAGCAGCTGAAATAGATGAACCGCACTCCAAATATTCATGAGGGATTGCTCCACGGACTATTTGCAAAAGATACTCAGCGCCTGAACAAAGACTAACAAATGGAAAAAGAAAACAACAGACATCAAATCAAATATAAACCTAACCACGCAAATGTAGGAACATCTGTCTCTCTTTTATGGTTCCTGTGCAACTCTACTTCCCTTACATGCAACATATAAATCCTTTGAAATAAGAAAATAATATTTTATCTATATTACCAGATTTTGATACCCACATTTTTATGTGCAACGATAATTAGAGCCTTGAGGCTATGTATACAGACCTTGACAAAGAACTAGTTAATCCCAAGAGGGTCGGTGTGACACCAATTTCAGAATTGCTAATTTTCGCTTCTTCTTTCAAAGCAATATCTCGTAGTATCTGCTCCAAAGCCAATTTCTATCAGTCTTAAAAAACAGATGAATGAAATCAAGAATTTCGCACAATAAACTAAGCTAAGTGTGGATAGCTTGCCTGAAGCCAAGCAGAGACAGAACTCGAAAACGCCCTCAAGGTAGGAGGAGACCTCAAAGAGGTCTTGAGTCTACCAACGACAGACTCTACAAACTTCAACCAAGTTGCAGCACATATAAATTCATTAAGAAGGTTGTGAAGGCTCATCTGGGACAAATGAGATATATATATCCCACTTTTGGCACGGAACATTTGTCCATTTTGGTCCCAGAAAATCAAGGAACTAGACAACCCCTGCAAAGCTTGTAAGACGCTCCTCACCTATTGAAACACCAACCAGCAACACAGGTAAGTTATTTGCAATTGCTGATTAGTCATTCAAGAAATGAAAGATAGATACTTGATTCGATATACCAGATCTGCTTCACTAATCCTCAATGAGGACATGGGCGCCCCAAAATGAACGTCACCACAGACAGAAGCACTAATTTTATGTATTAAGCCTTCGGGCATTTCTCTCTTCGGCTCATCTGCCAGAGGAGAAGAAATATATACATTTGAAAAGACAGGAAACCAAGACGGAAACTGAAGGCACTACCTTTCCAAAGAATTCAACCAAACAGACCATGCAGAAACTAAAACTGAAAACCCAAAATACATAACGGACCTCGAACCTGAAATCTCCTGATATTCTACGCAATCCCTAGTAATACGTAAAAATCAAAGGCCAGTCCTTTCAGAAGAGCATAGAATTAACAGAATAACAAAACTATTATTCAAGGCCGATGAATGCAATTACGGCCAAGAGCTCCTCCATGATCACCAGCAATAACATGATAACAACAGTAACAGCAATAAACCTTCTTCACGAAAACCAAATCAGAAAATGATAAGGATATATAAGAAATTTACCAGAGTAAAGGAGCTTCTCCATATGGCAAAATGAAGATTACAACAATGTCGCACCAATCCCGGCCAGCCTGACAAAGCGAGTAAATACATCTCAGATGAAACCCATTTCTCGAAGCTAGAACGTTTATTCAATCTTCACATACCGAAACATCATCTATTCACAACGAAAAACCAACGTAGCAGAACGGGGAAAGATTCATGATTGGATTAATTTTTCAGACCGAAATCCAGAAATTCACAGGAAAGTACACCCAGATTAACATCGAAGAACACAGAAAACCGAGCAAAAGACAGCAGAAACTACAGTTGAAACCGGACAAAGTAGTTTCAAATCAAAAGGGCTGTAGACGATTGAAGAAAAAATGTCACCGAAATTAAGGAAACCCACCTCGGCTTTTCCTCAATGGAGACTAACTACTCTCCTGAGAAAACCAGATGGGATGGTCGATTTGCAGGGGGAAAAATGACGCATGAACAAAATAGACGACGTCGTTGCTTCTTCTCCTCCCGCTCTCTCACACACACAATTAGCAGTGTCGTTCTTCGTACTTTTGGGTTAGGTTGTAATTTAAAGTGACCATAGGGGTATTCTGGTCAATTTTCCTCGATGTCTTTCAAAGATTTTCCAGTGAAACGGCGTTTTATTAATGAACGACCAAAATCGCTGAAGAATCCGTTTGTTCGTCTTCCGCTCTTGTTCGTGATCATATTCCAAGACAAGCCCTAATCATCTCTCTCTTCCATCTTTTTCACTGAAATCAGCCGCCATGGCTCGAAGCTTCATCTCGTGGCTGCACGACCTAGGTGATTCGGGTCCTGCAAACGAACCCATCAAGACATTATTCAAATCCCCCGACTTCAGGAACTCTGACTGGCTGTCCCCTTCATCTCCAACCATATCTCCTGCAACTGTACGATTTTGGCTTTTGCTTCTAGTTTTCTGATGATGGACATATCGAAGGGTTTTCTTTTCGTCCTGTGGGGTTGGGTCTCTGGGTTTTGCATAGTTCTGTTCTCTGATTAAGCTGATAAGTTAAAGCTCATATCTTGATTAATCTGGTGAAGATTGCTGTGTTTCTGATAGTTGCTTTTGTTGGGGATTGCAATGAGATTCCTTTTGGTGAGTCTGGTAATTTGATATGAACGTTTGGTGTAATAACACCTCGTGTCCTGAGTGTTTTCTCCTTAATCCTTCAAATCTCAGTTTATGATTGGATTGCTTCCAATGGGTATCGATCTTTGTCGAAGATGATTGCTCAAAGTGCAAATTGTTTTCGGAGTCTGCATCGTTGTCAATGCCATTTGGTATTTGGGTTTCATTCTTGTGCAGATGATATGGGTTATGCCTTCATGGTTTGACATCCCTGAGTTCCCCTTGCAGTGGTAACATGTCTTTCTTGATCCTAATATCTAATTCCATATATCCATCTTGCTAATATAACATACATCTTCATATTGTGTCAATGTTGTGTTATGCATCTTATTGTCATTCTCGACCTTTCAGATCTCACAGCAGCAAAGTTTGAATCTTTATGATAGGCTTCAACTATACTTGCTAATTAATCCTACATGGGTCTCTCCCTATAGAACGAGAGCTTCAGCTGTTCGCCTTGTGAGGTGATATCGTCAATATGTTCTGGTAAGTGCTTGTTGTTGTTATTAAAACCATTACATGTCTCAGACAGAAATGCAAATAAAGTAACAGTCTCTTGATTGGTTCCTCCGGCAATCTCCTTATCTGTAATGGTGTGTACGTTCTTAACCTAAGAATCCACAGGGGGATTTCCGGAGGAACAAATCCAGAAAATGTCTATACTTGTGGATTTAACCAAGGAGGTGTTTTCTCCACTTTATTGGTATTTCTCTGTTTCCCATGAGTACCATACTCTTTGAATTGATAGAGAAGCCCTTCTTTTTTTACTTGTGAATCTATATGATAGTGTTACATTCCAGTTCCTGGTCAAATTTCTTTTCTTTGCCCAAAAACTCTTGGAGGAGGGTGCCGTTTTATTCTTTACTCATCAAACAATTTTCTGAAGATGCTAAGAAGGTTCATCTGTTTCTTGTTAAAAAGAACAATCTTTAGGCATTGATTTCGGTTTCTTATTCTTTCCAGATTTGTTTTCTCCTCTGCAGACACATGTCTTGTGGTCACACGGAATGGAATAGGTATAGGTGACAGGACTCCGCTCTTTGAAGCTGGTCACTCTGCTCTTCCTTTCCTTCAAGAAGCAGGCCTAACTTGTGAGTTCAAGGTATGAATCCACAACACTATACACACACGTTCCCTTTCTTTTGATTCATAACATCTCTGCTTCTGCTTTAGGCCGCGAGACCCTTGTACAATCGAAGACTTGTACAGTTGCCTTGCCTTGCCTTGTAGAGCCATGGTGCTCGGTTCATGTTTTGCGCAAAACCCGGATTACTGATTCCCTTCCTGGCCCTTTAAATGGGTTTTACACTCAATGGTTTGCATTGTTTGCACAAAACAATCCGAAACGTTTTCAGGCAAGCTACACCCAAGTGGCATCCACCATGATTCTTGATTAGAATCTTGCTCCTGCTATGGATATGAGTATGAGTGCAGACTTGGTAAATGTTTCCACTATGATTATAGCAATGTGCATGTGAAGAGATTTGTCTATTTGCAGGCATAGGCTGGTCTCCATCAGCAACGAGGGGCTTCTCAAGCATTTGGAGTCATGGATCATGGAAAAAGTGTGTCCGAAGGATATGATGATAAGAACACCGAAGTGTGTCTGCTTCCATCAATGTCCATTTGCTTTAACTTTATTCATCTTACTGTATTATTTATAAAAATGCGGTTAGAGAATTATTAGTTTGAACTTGTACATACAAAATGTTTAGATAGATATAAATCATATTTGTTTAGAATATAAATCATATTATGAAACAAATGTTCTTTCTTTTTTTTCTTATCATGCACTTGTAAATTAAGGATCTAACTTAATTTTTCTAAAATCTACAATAATTTAAATTTATAAATCCATTCTTTTCGATCCTTAACTCTAACTTTCAGCGAATTAAACTTAATAATTTTAGGCTCAATTTATTTTACGAGACCTTTCAAATTCTTTTTCTTATTTTTCTGAACTAACTAATGATTTTTATTCTATTTAACACACTAATAGGATAAATTTGGGTGTCTTTAAAGCCTTGATTGGAATATTAATGCAAAGGATATTTTGTTCCTTTAAAGGAAATGGGGACACGTAGCATATGGTACACACTTTTTTTTCTATAGTAAGATACAAATTATTATACTAAGTAGCTTTCATAAACAAATGTTTGCTTATGTTACACATATCGTTTTCAATTTAATAGTTGTTGTTTTCGTCAATATGGACCAACCATATCAAGACAAATCTTATGTTAGCGATGTTATATGCATCTGTTACAAATTTTCCATTTGATAATATTTGAAACATTAATATACTACCAAAATTTAATAGGGTAATATTTTTAGTTTTACTTGTAATTTTACAAGATGAATTGTTTTGGAAAACCATACATTTTAAAATAAATAAAAAATAATAAGCTTTTCTCGTCATATTAAATACGTAATAAGATGGAAGACAAATGATGACACGTCATAACATATAGAGTAGTCGTTGTTAGCGTAGGGAGGGCTAATTTTGTCTCAATTAATCATTTCACTATTAAAATATTAGGATTCTCCTCGCGGCATCAACCGACTTAATATGATTTTCCCTAATTACCCCCAAACTGCTTCTAAATATCAGTCTTACCACTGAACTGACAGCTACAACAGAATCTAACTTAACCAAAAATAAAAAATATATATAGTTCATCAAATCTATAAATAAATAAATATGAAATATTATATAACCCAAGTATATTTGATATTGTTTTCAAATATCTCCAAATTTTAATTTTCTAAGCTTTTTTCTAATTACAGTATTTCAACAAATACATAGTTTTAGGATATGGGGCAATAAGTATTTCCCTTAACAAATGGTATATTCATTAGGAAGAGGTAAAATAAAACATGCGGATAATTAACAATTTGCATATGCAAATAACAAAAAAAGATAAATGAGATGCAAATGAAAATGAAACATCCATAGATAGGACCCAACTTACCATACAACATTTATTAAAATGGGTCTACTTTTTTTTAATTTCCAGTTATTGTTTTTGGAATTACATGAGCCGTTGGATCCGATCCATCAAGAATTATTGGAGGCAAAAAATACAATGAATGTGAATGAATCACACCCTCTAAACTCTGTATGTAAATGCGACTGACCACTCATTTTTATAATCATTTTAATATCTATATGTCGACACATTCATAGTGTTTTTTGTACAGATCCATCATGAATGTATTTGTATTGATAAAGAGCTTATATCAATTATATATATATAGACATGATAAATTTATGTATCCCAATTCATCGAATGGCATATATATCATGTGTTCCTCTGAACAAAAAAAATTCCTTACCATGCCATTCTACAATATATAAATCATAGAACTCTATCCTGACAATAAATTTTTTTACTGAAAATATTTTGTAATGCATATTTATAATCTTAAAAATAAAATTAAGGAGGTCGAGTGATTGCCGATCCTAAGCTACAAATTTAGGTATAGATCCAATTAATTTTATTTACTGTTAGAAATTTAATGATGAAGAGAAATATGGTTAACGAAATGAGATGAGAGTGTAATTAATAAATTTGGCAAGTAAAAAAAAAAGGAAGAAGAAAATGTTCCTAATAGATAATAGGACAAAAAGGTAAAAGCACATACAAAAGATGGTGGGGCTTTAGGGCACATGACATAATCTTCACTCACTTGGGTTACTACAGGGAAGAAAAGCTTGCATCGCCATTTATGGATCCCATGGCATTTTCGTCATTACCCTATTTTCCGATACCTATTTTCGTCATTTTATCCCTCCTTCGTCTTTCTCCACCTTTCACTGCCACTCACACGCGCGCGCATACCCTCTCTCTCCTCTGGAGCACTCAAAGAGTAAAGTTCTCTGCATTTCACTCTCTCTCTCTCTCTAGAAATGGGTAGTCGGATCCAATCCCACCAGCTGAGCAATGGGTTGTACGTTTCGGGTCGACCCGAGCAGCCCAAGGAGCGGCCACCGACAATGGCGGCGCGTTCTGTGCTTTACACTGGCAGTGGCGGCGATATCAAGAAGTCCGGCGAGCTCGGAAGGATGTTCGACATCTCCATCGCCGACACGGCCTCGTCCCTGGGTCCTCCTCCGCTCGTTGTCGGCGGTAGCGGCGGAGCTATCAGGCCGCCGCCGTCGCGAGTCTCCTCCGCCTCGTCGTCGAATCCCAACAGTGGATCTGTTCGATCCGGATCTAACTCGGGTCCAGTTCGGAAATCGTCGGGACCACTCTCCCAGCTTCAGCCGACTGGTTTGATAACCTCCGGTCCACTGGGGTCTGGACCAATCGGAACTGGGTCTAGGAGGTCGGGTCAGATGGACCACCAAGCGGGTAACACCGGGTCGGGCAAGCCCAAGTACGGGTCGGCAGTGACGAGTCTGAGCTCGGACCAGGTTCGAATCGGGTTTAGGGTACCAAAGGCGGTTGTTTGGGCGGTGATGGTGGTGGTGGCGATGGGGTTGGTGGTCGGTGTGTTCATAATGGTGGCGGCGAAGAAAGTCGTGGTAATGGCGGCGGTTGCGGCTGTGGTTTTTCCCGCCTTGGTGTGTTTGGTGTGGAATTGCGTCTGGGGAAGAAGAGGGTTACTGGGTTTCGTTCGGAGGTACCCAGATGCCGAGCTTAGAGGCGCCATTGATGGACAGTTCGTCAAGGTTACAGGGGTAAGATTTCACTCAACCCTTCTTCAGCGTTTGAACTGATATAGCTTCACATCACATGTTAGGTGTTAGTTAAACTAGGATCTTGTCTTGTTACTAATTTATTGTTAAATTTCCTTAGTAGTAAATTTATCTAGTTTTTCTGGTAACCGATCGTTCCCGATCTTTGACCATCATACTCGATGAGTAAATCATTCTATCTGGTGAGTTAGAATGTCATTTTCATTGCCTTTTGTGATGAATTTTTGCTCGTGAATCTGTTGTTCATCAAAACTAAGAAACAGATATGCCACTGAATCAAGTAGCATATTTCTCCATGTGTCCTTTTTGTGTAAGCGTGTTTCTATCTGTGACTGAACTCCAGATCCCAAATGCTGGTAAAGAATGCTTGTTTCATCTAGTTCATTGAGTTGATTTCTAGTAACGTCTTAAGGTAAATTTCATATGCCCTATTTTGTGTCATAAGCTTAGTCACTTGGTTTAAGCTATCTGGGAACTTGGTTAAATCATCTGTGATTCAACTATTCCAGTTTTCGGCTAATTTCAAGATCTGATTCTTGATATGGTAGATTTGATATGTCTCTTTAGGTTTTTTGGCTAGTTTAATGGATAGGTACATGGATGCATACACACAAAGTTACCCGATTTAACAAAAGCTGCCATGGAAATCCTGGTCCAAGATCTGGTCTTTGATAAGCAATTGTAAATTGCTTGTTTCCCTCAAAGGCATATTTTTGTTTTGCTCGCAGGTTGTAACATGTGGAAGTATACCATTGGAGTCGTCCTACCAAAGGATTCCAAGATGCATTTACGTGTCCACAGAATTGTACGAATATAAAGGTTTTGGTGGAAAGTCCGCTAACCCAAAACATCGATGCTTCTCCTGGGGATCTAGATATGCTGAGGTTTGCTTCTGCTCTGTTCTCTCTTTTATGGTGCCTTTTTAATTTGTGTAAATCGATGTAATTTTGAAATCCATGATAAATCCTGGGGTAACGCCATCAGAGTAATTTGTTTAGAAGCATTGTGGTAAAATATTGTGCAAAAATCGTGTTTTATGTTTCTCCTGAAAAGAATAACTTGACATCATAAGGTTTTGCACATTCATATCTAAAATTTTGAAATCTTCCATTGTCACCTTTCTGAGAAAGTTGGGAGTTTGATGGTTACTGTAATTGTTCATGGGCAGCGGTACGTGGCCGATTTTTACGTCTCGGATTTCCAATCTGGATTAAGGGCACTTGTAAAAGCAGGCTATGGATCAAAAGTTTCTCCTTTTGTCAAACCAGCAACCGTGGTTGATGTAACAGCTCAGAACAAAGATTTATCTCCGAGTTTCCTAAGGTGGCTCTCGGACCGTAGTCTCTCAAGCGATGACCGTGTTATGCGCCTCAAAGAAGGGTATGTTACAGTCCACACATCTCGGTCATATTCTCGTAATTCTCATACATAGACAGGTAAAAGGCAGGCAAATAAATAAGCCTCATCAGTAGCATGATGAATTGATAACTTTTGCTGATCCTTCATTCCATTGAAATCTAAGTGTTTGAGGGTTAAAGGGCTGAATGGGTGAGGAACCAAAGGCTATTTAGTACAAAAGGAACACTTTTCTTGGCAGTTTCCTTGTTGGGTTTCTCATCTAATGACTGTACATGAATAATCCATCATACTTCTTTCGTATTTGATGATGATGATGATGATTGGAAGCAGATATATAAAGGAAGGGAGCACGGTGAGCGTGATGGGAATGGTGAGGAGACATGACAACGTGCTGATGATAGTTCCTCCGACTGAGGCTGTCTCCACTGGCTGCCAGTGGTGGCGCTGCCTCCTCCCTACCTACGCGGAAGGCCTCATTATCACCTGCGACGATAGTCACAACGCCGATGTCATTCCCGTCTGAATTTGGCCGTTGTCCCCTTCCACTCTCATGTGATTTTTGCTTGTCCATATCTATCTATATTAAGTATTATATATCATAATTATAACAATATATGTATAAGGTAGGCCTAAGGCTGAGGAATGAGCTGAAGCCAGCATATGATCATCAATTACTCTTGTGTTGTTTTTGCTCCCTAAGTGGGGTTGTGTTCTGTCTCTCTCTGTACATTTTACCTCCCAAAATGTAAATGCTATTTCATAGTTTCTACCCTTCTTTTACTTCTTTACGCATCTCTGTTCTGTCTGGTTCACGCTACAACTAGTTCTTATGGATTAACATCCATATCTTGACTAATGCCGAACATATTCATTAATGCAAAAACTACCGATTATATCCTTTACATAATTGTACCAAATGCAAATTGACATCTGACTTGGGGTATAGTCTATAACTGTTACCGTCTTATTACACAACTGAAATGAAATGGACTAACCAATCTTGCATGAAGAGTCTTATGACCTGTTTTTATATTATGATTATTATTTTGTTCATTGATTTTGTAGTTTTGTATCAAAGGCGAGAGGACATTCCTCCGGCGACGATCAAAGTCTCTCCGGTGATGTAAGAAGCGTCATCGGATGCCAAGAAGGCTGCCGCTGCGGCCATATCTTCCGTCGTCCCCAACCTATTGAGCAGAGTCTTCTCCTCGAGGCCTTTTCTCTGCCATCACAACACCAAACACACATTTCATTTCATCATCAGATTTCCGATGTAGAAATCCATCCGAGTCACCAACAGACATTGACAATACCACTTCAGGACTTCCGGTGATGAAAGAAGCAAAGTGTGTCGGCACAAAACCAGGGGCAATGGCATTCACCCGCGTGTCTGGCCCCATCTCTGCAGCAAGTGCCTGCAAAAGCATCGGAGATAATTCAATTCTATGTGTAACCATACCTTCCGGTTGTTTTACTTAATCATGGAACCGAAATGAGTAACGCAAAGAAAGATAGATGACCTTGGTGAGTCCAAGAAGAGCCGTCTTCGTCACCCCATACATGGCCAGGGCGCCTGCCGGTTGATATCCAGCAATGGAAGTTATGAAAATTACTGAAGATCCCTTCTCCAGGTGAGGAGCTGTATCCTGTTTATGGCCAAGGACCATTTAAACATGAAATTAATCGGATGCAAGCTGGTCTGGTCGAGACAATAGGCTCCGCTGAACATTCTTAGCTCAGTTATACATGAGCCATATCTAGGACCATCAAACTCCAATTTAACCACATATATGAGAGTAAAAGAGAGCTCAGAAGACAATAGGTCATCACCAGAATGTCCATTGGATTAAAAACCCAACAGTAAACTGCTTTTGCATTCTTGTGACCCACAAAGAATTACTAGTATTTACAGGAAATTTTACCTGCAGGAGAAGTATGGAGGATTTGACATTGATTTCCCAAAGCTTGTCAAGGACGTCTTCTTTGCTTGACAAGATCGGGTCTGTTGAAGGATTAGCTGCAGCATTACAGACGATGATATCTATCTTCCTGTATTTCTGAAACCAAACCAATGAGCTACAATGTGAATAGTGGCAAAAAAGCTGACAGGAAGTAGTAAACATGTAACTGCTGAGATGCAAGAAAGCAGAAGAACCAAAACACTCTGTGCGGAGAAGTGCGAGAAGAATTTACATTACCATGAAGAAAAACAGTGATTCCTCAAACAATATAAAGTTTACAATTGATTCAGTAACACGAGATATGTTTTGGAAATGTGACTTTTCTTAAACCGATGATCTGAGAAATCTTGCTGCCAGCAAGCAAACAACATTTTTACCTGAATAGTCTTTTCAACAAGGTTCTTCCTGTGCTGTGCATTCGACACATGACAGACGATCCCAAATGCATCAATCCCCTTGGCTTTGAGCTTTCCAACCGCCTCGTCCACATTGTTCTGCGCAATATGTTAGCCTTATACTCAAAGAAACGACTTCAAAAGGCTACGAGGACAAAACTTGCTTTGCTTATTGGAACCAAAGCTTCTACTTTTGATTCAAGCTACTAACGAAAGCAAAATCTCCGACAACTACAATTATTATAGCAAAAAAACCATAGAAGAAATGCACGAAGTGGATGATTCACCACTAAACACACATAGAGAAATTGAAGAAACAGATTCATCGTCGCTCGATTTCAGTTTCCGCGATTTCAGTTTCCGCTACGTAAACTGCAACGAGGCAACCATTTACAGACCACTGCAACACAGCAGTGAATCAAACACAAAACCAAAAATTTCCAACAATCATACCGCGAAAACAAAAAACAAAATCACAGATGCATCGATCTGACACAAAGAATCCCAGAATTTCCACAGTCGAATATACCCGAATCCATGGTTCAATCAAAGAAGAGAAAGCGGTATGGAGAACCTGCTTGCGAGAGGAGACGACGACGGAGGCGCCTTCGAGGCCGAGGCGCTCAGCGATACCGAAGCCGATCCCTTGCGTCGAAGCCGTGACAATAGCAACCTTCCCGACAAGCCTCTTCGGTACCTTGTTCTTCTCCATTTCTTCTTCCTTCTTCGACAGGCTTTTCTGTCGCGTCTCTCTCTCTCGCTCACAGTCGCCGAGGCTGAAATGAGTTACATTTCGATTCTTCCCAGGTAGTAATCAAGATTTAGGAAATTCTCGTAAACGCTGTCGTTTAGTTAACACGGTCGACGGCACTTTTCACAGGGGAAACAAAAAACAACACGCGGTTTACCTATTCGACTTGAAAACGACGTGGAGTTGTACTTAATGGTTCAACCAACGCGTCGCGGTCAACTGAGATCAGATTCTCTCATAGGACAGGATTACGTGTTGAGGACTCGCGATGGACGGCTTAGATTCGTTCAGGGTTTAAAGTGGCGCCGCACCTGATAATTTCCTCATCTTGGGCGTCAAAGCGGAGCGGCTTTCAGCCCAGAAAAAGAAAAATGGGCCTCTCTTCGGCCCACCTAATCTGACCACTGTCTCAAATAATTAATAAGCACGATTAAAAATTTAAATTAAATAAACTAATCTTAATATTTATACTATTTTTTTTCCCGTTGTTAGAAACAAAAACATTTTAAGAACACACGAGTCAGCAATGACATATCTACAACTTCATTCGACAACCATTTTTACTCTCAATTATTGATCCACACTTCTGCCTAAAACAATAAGATAATTAGAATGGACATTGATCAATACATATCAATCAGCACTTAATTGTGTACTAAAATACAACAATATCGTTTTCTCCCACGCGTTGAATCATCGGCAACCTGGGATTGATACAACATCAAATGACCCAAGTCAAAAAAAAAAAAGGATCGGACATTGATATACACACATACATATATACGTATATGTATGTATCTATCTACCAATGTACAAAACACTGTCGCCATGAAAATCTCTGGAATCCTCTCTCGAAAGAACCGCGACTTTGACCAAAATTTTCATGGAATGTTCACTGTCAAACCGAAGAGAATTCGACGATTAACCCAGGATCCGAAAATTTTTTGGAACGAAAGATTTGGATGAAATCAGAAAAAAGTTATGTAATCAAACCGATTGTCTTGTTGAGCAACCATAGAAGAAGAGCAAGCTCGATTCCAAAGATCGTATGAAGCCATGCTCTGTCCACCATGAATCCATACACCGTGATTCCTGCCCTATTGTTCTCCAGGTACGTCACTGCATGCCAAAAAAAAAACCCACGAGTAATAAAATAATTTTCACCTTAACCAACCATAGATGAATAAATCCAGTGTTTCATTACCAAGTGCTTGACGTTTCTGGAAAGAAATGGTTCGGGCATATATCGGAAGTATCTTGGTGTTATCAAGATCGTCGTCTCCTTCTCCTTCTTCTTCATCATCGGATTCGATTACGTTACGAACGGGAAATATATGTGACTGGTGGACCAGAGCTGTTGGAGTCTCGCCGTCAAGATCTTCGAACGAGTCTATCGTGGCACAGATGTTCCATTTGGCGGCAAGGCTCGTCACGGATTGACCTTTGTGAGTTATCTTCGTCGCACTTCTCAGACATATGAATAGCCCTGTCACCAAGCTTAACGAACATAACTGTAAAAAAAAAAAGACAAACCCACAGAGACATTTATCATCATTAATCAAAAGATGAACATCAAAAGTTGAATCCATGTTCTAAGCCGAACCCAAGATTCAGAGAAATATTCTTACCACAAGCTCACCAACTTCATAGATATTGAATGAAATGCTGGCTCGGATGGTGGTAAGCAAGGCCATGAACTGGCTGGCAGTAACGAGAACAAGAGACAACAGAATGAACCGCCTGAACCGGTGGCTCACAACCCTCAGATTGCGTCGGATCTTGAGATGCTCGGACAGGATGGAGCTGACGTCGGATATCTCAGAGGCAAAGCAACGCGCGAAATCCTCGAGGCGGAGGATCTGAAGGTGGCAAGTGATCTGATAGAGGAGGCAGACAAAGATGAAGAGCGAAGTGCGGTAGAGCCAGGAGAAGAGCTGGAGAGTGCAGGCCATGACGTGGCTGAAAACGGGGTTGATGATGTACGGAATCTCGTCGAATCCCGTCACGTACCACCAGATTCGGTACGCTGCTTCTAGGGTTAACGATGGGAGGACAAAGATTGTGAGCAGCTTCATTGATTTCTGCAGCCGAAACAGAGCAAATGTAAAACAGAGATGCTTAAAGTGGGCGTTGTTTACAGTTACTAATACATGGTGTTATTGGCGGGAGAGGCTGTGTACATGAACTAATTGCTACAAAATAAAATCGAAGATGCCCAAATATTCGATCGAAATTATATATATAATTTCGAAAATTTAAATACCCAAATCACTGGGTGCATACAAATTCAACGAATACAGTAATTTAACATATAATTAGTTAAACACGATTTCTTACTGGTTAATCTAATAGTAATCATGGAATATTAAAGATTGAACTGAATTATGGGAGATTTTTATGAACATTTCTCCTCCCTTCCAACCCCAATTTACTATTTAATCGGAAATCTAAGTACTCCCAAAATCCATTAATTATTTCCCTAAACAGTATTTAAGAGATTGTAATCTCACACTTACTTTAGATTCAAGCAATATCCGAAACTTTTTAATCTCTAACACGATTTCGATACATCACACCTGATTCAGGAGTTTGCGTTGTCAGAAACAATTTTTTTCTTCAATCGGGAAAATTTCAGATTGAGCGACGAATTTACAGTAATTGTACCTGGATTTCAGCTTCATACCCCAACCTAACCTTGTCGCTAACATCCCAGAGCTTGTCCAGGAACAGGAACCGTCGGAGCCCGTACTTGCGCGACCAGGCCGAGAGGCTGACGAACGAGATCCCGGCGAAGACCGTCAGCGACAGCTGCACGACGGCGTCGTACGGACGACGGTGCTGGAAATCGCAGTCGGAGCAGATCAACACGAAGTGCGACACCATCGGGACCCCCACGGCGAGGAGGAAGAAGATCGACCACGACACCACAGCTCCACCGCGGCTCGACTGATCGAACCACAGCACGAAGCGCGGGAACGAAAGCCGGATCGTCGGAGACTCCGGCGGTTTTCCGATCGGGTCGGGTCGGTTCCCGGGTAATAGAGATTGACGGGATCCTCGCTCGGTTGCTCCTTCCATGTGTATTTTCGTAATTTCCGGTAAACTTTTTCTGATACTTGAAAAGGGGAGGGCGTTGTCTTTTTTCGTAATTTTGTAAATTATTATTAAAATGTCACAAACATGTAATGTCGATTGATAACAATTACAAGTTACAACGTCATATTTTTCTAAATTTTATAAACTTATCTGGAGGTGCCGAATGATTTATTATTCAATTTGAATCCATATTATATTTTGTTGTGGACCATATATCACATATTATCATACGTTTGGTACTAGTTAGAAAAACGGCTCTTCTCAATGTCGAAATTCCACTAAACGATGAACACGTGTCACTATCTTCCATTGTTCAAATCCAGGGGGAAAAATGTTTATTTATTTCCTTTGAATAAGAAATGATTATTCACTCGATCAATAATTTCTTATTCAGCGGTGAATAAGAAATATTCTTACTTTGAAATAGTCAAACGATATAAGATCATAGTAACGCATAAATTCAATACTATCACCACAGCCACCCTCGCGTCTTATAAGCGGTGTGGTAATTACGATTAATATGTGATTAACTTTGTTAATTACAATCAATTAGTGACAAATTGGCAATCAATACAGTCAGGCTACTTAGTAGTATTTCTGGAGAGAGAGAGAGAGGAGGAATATACTTTGATCAGTTTTCAGATTCTAATAGAATCTAAGCTTCTGGAGACTGGAGCACTCGTTTTCCTCTGATTAATTCTCCATTTCTTCTTCGAACTTTCTAGCGCCCGTTTCATTTCTCTGTGGCGCGCCATCACCATGCCGGTGGAGACCTACGGCGGCGATGTTCACGCGGTGCTGCAGTCGGATAACTCATCGCCGACAATCCTTCGACCGCCGCATAATCCTCCTGCTCCGGCGGCGGAGGGCGAGAAGGAAAGAGGAGGAGAGCTATTCGTGCCTCCTCTGAACTTCGCGATGGTGGATAACGGGATTTTCCGGTCAGGTTTCCCTGAGCCCGTCAATTTCAGCTTCTTGCAGTCCCTTAGACTCCGATCCATCATGTAAATTCTCTATCTTCGCCATGTTTCGTTGAATGGACTTCAACTTCCTGTTCATATTTGACTTCGATCGAATCTTCTTCTGTATTTGTATTGGAAATTTGGGTAGTGGCTACAATTATCCGCTTTTTATGGTATTTTACAGACCAGATACAAGAATCAGTTGACAAAATTTAGCATATTTGATCGATTCTTCTGTATAGATAAAGTCAAATTTTGTGAGATCTTAGTTCTAAGTTCAAGTAGTTGTTCCAATTTAGTAGTATGAGAAGCAAGTTAGGGGCATAAAATTCTGGGTGCTGTTCTTCATTCAATCGATTAATCAATCACTGCTCTAATTAGTGGAGTACAAGGAATTAAGACCCTAAATGTTTACTTGGTTAGTCCTTGACTGATGTACAATCGTGTCGTTTAATGGCCAAAAGCCAAAGAGTCATGTTGTTTCATCCACTAATCTATTCCTAATTCGGATTTATTCAACTCGGTGCTGTTGTAGATATCTGTGCCCGGAGTCATATCCAGAGGTGAATAACGAATTTGCAGAGGCTAATGGGGTTGAAGTGTTTCAGTTTGGAATCGAGAGATGCAAGGTAAAGATATTATAGAAATCTTGATCCGATTTCCCCGTGGTAAAGATATTATAGAAATCTTGATCCGATTTCCCCGTTGATTCGGTGTGAATATGTCTTGGTGTTTTCGAAGCTCCGAAGCCATGGAAAAAATCTGTTGCTGGTCTGAATTTCGAAGTAAGATCAAAACTTTACAAGATTAACTCGCTGTACATGTTTTCTAAGTTGTTACTCCTGTTCGTGGAGTCACGGAAAGCATGTGGTGAACTGCAGTTGTGCATTTCCAAAATGTAAACTTTGATTCCGTGCCGAAAATATTTGATTCTTTAGCCATCCCTTAGCTTGATTTTTTCTTTTCTGCAGGAACCATTTGTTAACATACCGGACGAGGTGATACGTGAAGCACTGAAAGTTCTTCTAGGTGCCCATATCTCTTTCGAAACTCTTCTGAAATAATGTTAGACAGTTCTCGGCCATCTAATTTTCTTTGTTTCTAAACTCCTTTTGCTTCAGATACGACGAATCACCCTGTTTTAGTTCATTGCAAGAGCGGAAAGGTAAATTGCTTCTGCATCAATTCTCTTTCCGCGATTAGATTTGACGAGTATTCTTCATTGGGATGCAGCATCGGACGGGATGTCTGGTTGGATGTCTGAGGAAGGTACAGAGATGGTGCTTATCCTCCATTTTCGACGAGTACCAGAGATTCGCCGCCTCGAAAGCTAGAATCTCGGACCAGAGATTCATGGAGCTCTTTGATATCTCAAGTCTAAGGCATTCACCCATGTCATTTTCATGTTCCATGAGGTATTTTCATCAGAATTAAAAAAAAAAACTGGAACTTCCTTAAACATTCATCTGGAAACTGCGGTTGATGGAAGCCTGTATTAACCCTAAACCCTAAATTATACCTTAATTTAGAAGAAATGGGATGTTGGTCAATGTAATAATTTTGGATGTTACCAAGGAACGGTCATGTGAAATGGCTGTAAGGCGGGCGAGTCTGTCAAACTTGTTTTGGCTAAGATTCTGCCTTTAAAAAACAATAGGTGGTATATATATGATTTGATAACCATTATGATACTATTATATTGATGATGATGCACTGTTTTTTTTTTTCTATCTTCCTTTTTGTACTGTTTTTTTTTTGTTTGTTTGTTTGGTATTTGCTTGGAAGATCTCCGACTCTACTGATTTCATGCACCATCTTTTTGTATGTATGATAAGAGGGACGCTAAATTAAATAACTCTACTTTCCTCATTACGTAAAGAAACAAGTTCCATCATACATTTCATTCAGTATTCCATTTTTTGAATTTTTTTTGATAAATTGCAACTTAAAATATTAAGAATTATTAATCCATCTTAATACATAAAAAAAATGATTATATATGTATCATTAACAGCCTTTACGATAACTGTAATTTAAGATCGGATTCACATTCATAACCATATCTAATTTGAGATAAGTTGGTATAAAAATTCCAATATCAATCCACTTAATAATACATCCTACTACTTACTGCTATGAATAAAACGAATGGATTTGTTATAGATTTCCTTTTTTTTAACATACAAAACGGGAATATATTATTCTTTCAAACTTAATTCCAATCCAATATTTTTATGATTCTTTTGCATTGGAAAATTTTATTTTATTGTTTTTGTTATAAAAAAAAGCTGAGAAACCTCGTGGAAACTTATAATATCGTAAACCCTGTGTACACGAAGATCAAAACAGTTACCATCCTTCGAATCTCTCTTTCTACATCAGAGGGTTCTTCCATGTTGGACCTTCTCTTCGGAATTCATTACTGGTTCTTAGTTCCTTTATAATCCTCTCTCTCTGTATATATACACACACACACACTCTCCACTCATCTGAGATTCTGCGAGCGAGTCGAGAATGAGTGAACGCGGTCTCCAAACGAGTCAGGAACCGCCGGAGAGAGCCCGGGCGACGACGTTTCTGGATTTGCTCCGGGGCCAGATGGACGGTCTAGATCGACCCATCAGGAGGAAACGGTCTCTTAAGGAACGGCTACGATTCAAAGGCATCGGATGCTGTGGGCCCTCCTGGGGTCTCCGAACTACCACCACCACCACCCTCAGCTCGAGAGACGACGAACACGAACCGGGGCAAGCCCGGGTCGATACCGGGTCGGATCATGACTCTGGCTCTTCCCAGTCGGGA